TCATAGGGCCATCTTGGAAGCCTCTTGGGCGCTCTGGGGGCGATCTTTCGGGCCTCTTGGGCCGTCGTGGGCCGTCGGAAGGCTGGAAAATAGCAAAAGCCAAAATCCTTAAAACACCTCAGGACAACCAATGATTTTGGCCTCCTCGGGCTTTCGTGGATGACCTGTTGGAGGTCTCTTGGGGCGTCTTGGAGGCCTCTTGGAGGCCTCTGGGGCCGTCTTGGGCCATCTTAGAGGTTTCTTGTGCGAACTTGGAGGCGTCTTGGACTCTCTTGGGCCGTCTTGGAGGCCATCTTGGACCATCTCGGGCGAATTTGGGGGCCATCTTGGGCCATCTTGGCCGTTTCGGACGCCATCTTGGAGCCATCTGGAACATGAAAAACCTTTGCAACCGGATTTTGGGCAGTCTTTGGGGCCTTTCCGGGACCCCGGCGGGACGGGCCGAAGCCTTAGGGAGTTTTCGAAAAGAACCCAAATCGAAAGGGTCTACAGTCGGTCCGGATTAGTAGGTCGACCCTGCCAAATCAAGGGCACCCTTGTGTCCTGTGTCTCGCGGCCCATGCTTCCTACATTCCTGTGGCAATGTGGCCCTCGGAAGGGTCTTGTGTCCTCTCGCGTGTCCTGTCCAATCGAGTCCGACTGTAGCACGCGGGTCACCCTTGTGATGAATCAACAGGGGGCGGCGGATGACGGAAAGCGCGCGTTAGCGTGCGGTCCGTTAGTCGGAAGAAATTTGACTTGGGGGAGTTCGAGGGGGTTGGCATCGCAGGGCCCGGATCTAATTGCCCTCCCGCCTCGTTTTTTATCGAGTAGGACGGCCTTCGGGGCTTCAAAACAGCGTTTCGCTCGAGACATCATCGGAGAACGCTTCTTGGGCGCTTCTTGGGCCGTCTTAGGCGCCTAAGACAGCCCAGGAAGCGGCCAAGACGGCGCCCAAGACGGCCAAAGACTGCCCAAGAAGCGCCCAAGACGGCCCAAGAGCGCTCCAAGAGAGCCCAAGACCGCCCAAGACGGCCCCAAGACGTCCCCAAGACGTCCCAAGAGGCCTCCACGACGCCCCAGGAGGCGCCCACGAGGCGTCCCAAGAGGGCCCCAAGAGGCCCAAATCATGGATTTTCTCAAGGAAAACGTGCATTTTTAGCATATACGGCTTTTCGCCTTTCATGGCGTTCAAGACGGTCCAAAAGGCCCCCAAGACCGGCCCAAGACGGCCCAAGATGTTCCCAAGAGGCCCCCGAAATAGCCCAAGAGGGCGCCAAGACGGGCCAAGAGGCGTCCAAGACTGTCCAAGAGGCCCCCAAGAGTGCCCCAAGAAGGCCCAAGAGGCCCCCAAGAAGGCCCCCAAACGGCCCAAGAGGGCGCCAAAACGGCCCAAGAGGCGCCAAGACGGCCCAAGACGGCCCCAGGACGGCCCCAAGAAGGCCCCGAGAGGCCTCCAAGAGAGCCCAAAGACGGCCAAAGGCAGCCTGGTCCCTTCACCCCCGCAGCCCAGAAGCTCCCAGGAGGCCCCCAGAGGCCCCCGAAAAGCCACACAAGGTTCCCAAGAGGCACCCACGAGGCTCCCCAAGAGCCCTCCAAGAGGCCAAAATACTCCCAAAGGCTCTTCGCACCGCGGCGGCCCAAGACGGCCCAAGAAGCGCCCTAGACGGCCCAAGAGCGCTCCAAGAGAGCCCAAGACCGCCCAAGGCGTCCCCAAGACGTCCCAAGAGGCCTCCACGACGCCCCAGGAGGCGCCCGCGAGGTGTCCCAAGAGGGCCCCAAGAGGCCCAAATCATGGATTTTCTTAAGGAAAACGTGCATTTTTAGCACCTACGGCTTTTCGCTTTTCATGGCGTTGAAGACGGTCCAAGCCCCGAAGACCGCCCCAAGACGGCCCAAGATGTTCCCAAGAGGCCCCCAAAATAGCCCAAGAGGGCGCCAAGACGGGCCAAGAGGCGTCCAAGACTGTCCAAGAGGCCCCCAAGAGCGCCCCAAGAAGGCCCAAGAGGCCCCCAAGAAGGCCCCCAAACGGCCCAAGAGGGCGCCAAGACGGCCCAAGAGGCGCCAAGACGGCCCAAGACGGCCCCAGGACGGCCCCAAGAAGGCCCCAAGAGGCCCCCAAGAGAGCCCAAAGACGGCCAAAGGCAGCCTAGTCCCTTCACCCCCGCAGCCCAGAAGCTCCCAGGAGGCCCCCAGAGGCCCCCGAAAAGCCCCAAAAGGTCCCCAAAAGGTCCCCAAGAGGCACCCAAGAGGCTCCCCAAGAGCCCCCCAAGAGGCCAAAAATACTCCCAAAGGCTCTTAGCACCGCGGCTCCCAAGAGCGAGCGGTGACGTAATCGAGCTGATAAGACCAAAGCTCCCAACAGAGAGCTGCGGCGTAATAAGTTCTTGCAGCCAGGGCACAGGGACGGGCGGCAACGCGTGGACAACAAGCGGTCCACGCAAGGACAACGCGGGGTTCTGGAAAGCTGGCAGCCCAAACGCGGAAAACGCAACGCGACCCGACCGCCCCCTCCAAAACAAGAAACGCGCTCAAAGAAAGCTCCGTGACTCTCCGAGGCTGATATAGGACAAGAGCGAGGGGAAGGGAGTCAATAAGAGGTGTAAGAGCGGACGAGCCAGCGATACCGTGCGCTCTGAAAGTAAGTGCGCTTTCCGTCCCCGTGCCAAGCAGGTCTAATGGCCTTCGGCCAATCCCGCCACCGTGCGATGGGTTTGGGTCAGAGTTCTAAGGGATGCTTCTTCGGGTCTCATCGGAGCGCTCTCGAGGGCCTCTTTGGAGTTGTGGGGCCTCTCGGCAGCCTCTTAAGGGCCTCTTGGGAGCCTCCTGGGGCCTCTTGAGAACCTCTCGTGGCCTCTTGGGGGCCTCTCGGGGGCTCTTGGGGACTCCTGGGTGGCCCTCGGGGCCGAGGGCTCGAACCGTCCGTTCGGGTTCCCCCTCTGGGCCTTCTCTTTAGACCGCCTTTGGGCCCTCCTGGGCCGTCTTGGGCCCTCTTGGGCCGTCTGGGGGGGGCCCTCTTTGGCCGTCGTGGAGCCCTCTTGGCCGCTTCTGGGGTCGTTCTGGGGCATTCTTGGGGGACTCGTGGGCCGTCTTGGAGCGTCGGAAAGCCGAAAAGGCGAGAAGAGCAAAAACCTAAAACAACCCAGGAAAATCATTGATGTTTGCCTCTTGGGGCTCTCTTGGGACGCCTGTTGGAACATTCTTGAGACGTCTTCGGGGTCTCTTGGGCAGTGCTGAGGCCATCTTAGGCGTATTGGGGCACTATTGGTCCTTCTTGGAGGCATCTTCGGCCCTATTGGGCGCTTTTTGGGCCCATGTTTAGCCAGCTGCGCTACCGGAGGACGGGCGTGACACACCAGGGGAATCCGGGGAGTATTCCCGGAAATCGTTGCGAAACCGATGGCACGGGCCCTGAACCGTAAACCCTAAACCCTAAACCCTGAACACTACAACTCTGAATTTCTGAAAGCTGCAAGAGCCTTGGGGCACTCCACTGCGTGCTGAAGGCACGGTGGCGTACAGTCGGCGCGCTGAAAAGGAACCCTTCTCGTTGGGGAGGGGCTCAGTGTTCCCTGACTGTTTTGCAGCTTTCCTCATGTTTTCCTGAGGTTTCTCATGGGAAATCGAAGTTAAACCAGATTATGGGAACCAGGGGCCCCGTTCCTTATCTAGGGTTCCTTAGGCCAACGCCCCGACGGTATATAAGGAAGCCCGACCCTGGAGCCCCGGAGGCCGCAGACCCCCATCGACACCCAGGGTCCTCTCAGTGGCGCCTCCCCTCCGGAAGCCTCCCCTGGGCTCCCCCAGGAGCCTCCCAGAGCTGTGCAGGAGATCCGCGCGGGCCCCACGACGTTCCCAAGAGTGACCCAGGAGGCCGCCAGAGTGCCCACACTGGATTTTTAAGTGGGCCACATCAGTCAAGAATCAAAGGGATCCCAATGTGTGTTTCCTTTTATCCGGACTTGCATTTTGCTGCCACGGAGGCCCAAATGGTCTCGAAGAGAGTTGCAATATCGCCCAAAGGATGGCCCAGGACTGCCGCACATAATATGTGGCGCATAATTACCAATCCTCAGTGCGACTTCGGACCAATGCGTGGGCTTCCAAGCATACGGACACGGCCCGTCTGGCGCGCTATACGCTTGGCGCCATGGCAAGTAGATCTTGAGCGCACGCAGCGCGCGCGCCCGATCGTTCCAGTGTATATATCCATATAGGTATACGTATGTGTATGCTCGTTGATCATTGCTGTTTGTGCTTCTGGCGGCCATCAACCTTGCCATCGTTGCCTCTCGAAGATTGCTTCTTTAAGCCATTTCGTTAAACGTTCGCTTCCTGTCGATTGTGAGGACACGGGTTGTGCGGGACGAAGCAGGGAAGGGCAGACATGACGAAGAGAATCACGAAATGGGTAGGAGACGGGGTAGCAGAAATGGTAGGACGCCGCTCACTCCCAAAATGTCGCCGACGTTTTGCCTTGGCTTCCCCGGCGCTCCAGACCATCCTCCTCTTCACGTCTCACTTTTTTCTCTTCCTTTCCTCTCTCATTCTGCGACCACTTGCGAACCCTACTCCTACGGGTCCAATCGACGCTGGGGTATTGGACACCCCGCTGGGGGTCATCTGGCTGTAGACATCCCTCAAATTCTGGACTCCAGCTTGTTTTCAAACATATTGACCTCGGGTTTATTTGCGGTTGCCTACTCATAGATTTGCCGATCCTTCATCCCCTTCCCCCCCCTGCCTGCCACATGACACCCCGTGCTCCCCCCTCAGCATGCAGACAACATTTCCCTCCGGTTGATCATTTCTCTAACGAGCATGGGAGTTTGTCACTTGGCATACCTTTTGCTCATTTGTTCGCCAACTCTCGAGTCGTTTTTCGGGCCATTGTGGGCTCGATCGCAGCAGGCAGTGGGAACTCAGCACGTCTTCGAGGTGCGGCGAGTGGCCAATTACTTATGGATCTTTTTTGGTCTCCCAGTCAACGGTCTCCTATTCAACAGGAGCTGGCCGTGTGGATGGCCGTGCCCCCAGACCAGCGCGAGGAGTTGGTGTCCAAGCACTTCTCGTCGCTGGCAGGTAGCGTCGAAGCAGACATGAGGGTGCCTGATGGCTGCAGCACCGCCGTCGCTGGCTTGCGTCGAAAGGGAGACAGCTGGGAATTCAGGTGGGCGGCGCAGTAGTGATGGGTTTTGAACAGCATTGGAAACTTGTTTCGTCAATCGTGGCTTCATTTGCTAGGTGTTTTCCCTTGTCGCCTAAGCCCCAGGTAGGCACCAGTGGGACCTACGAATAGAGCTTATGCCTCAACACCAGCCACACTCTTGGCTCAGGATGGCATTACCGCCTGAGCCCTGGCCGCAGTCCACGTCGGAATGGTGCTTTCGACTTTGCGCCAGCCTGACAACAAGCTCGGAGTGGTTATTTCGCTTTGGCGCTGGCCACATTTTCAGTACAGTTTTGCCAAACTATCCTGCGGTATCGGGCTCTCGTTTTGGAGAGTTCGCCTCGCGTCCCACCCCTGCCCTCTCCTTCCTTTCTCCTCCTGCCTCTGCCCTCCGCATGCCCATGCCGTCACACCCCTTACACGGTTCGTGGCCCTATCGGGAGTTCCACGGAACGCTGGAGTGGCGGCATATTTTTCGGGAAATCTTTTGCATATTCTGTGGGCAATGTGAGGGTCCACATGGCGGCACCGCACCAATTTCGGCCCACCCCTCACATGTTTCGCGGCTCCATCGGGAGGGAGCTCCACCGAAGGCCCCAGCGGCAGTGTCCTCATGGCGGCAAAGCAGCCATTTCGGCAAAGTAAATCCCTCGCACGTTTTGTGGCCTCATAGGGAGCCCCACCGAAGGCCCCAGCGGCAGTGTCCACATGATGGCTGCACTGCGCCCAGTTCGGCACATCCCTCGCGCGTTTCGTGGCCTCATAGGGAGCTCCGTCGAAGGCCCTAGTGGCAGGGACCGCATGGCGGCATCGCCACACCCCCCACACGTTTCGTGGGTCCGTTGGGGGATCCGCGGAAGGCCCCAGTGTCAGGTTCCGCTTGGCGGCACCGCCCCCAGTTCGGCACAACCTTCGCACGTTTCGTGGCCCCATGGGGGGCTCCGCCGAAGGCCCCAGCGGCAGGGTCCGCATGACGGCACCGCCCCAATTTCGGCATACCCCTCCGTCACGGCTTGCAGTAGTCTCACTGTGCTGCACGGTGGGCTTGGGGCCAGGGGGCGAAAGCATTGCGGTGCCACAGCCCCGCTAGGACCCCCTCGTGAAGTGACCATTCACCACCGCGGGACGGGACGCGGAGCAGTTTGTCAGATTTGGCCCTGTCCGCAGTGGGCACGTTGTCGCCCTCCATCAATTTCGACTCAACCGCACTCACGACACGGACCGAGGCCAAAACCATATGTGGCTGGAGTCATTTGGTTCAGTTTTGCTTGATGCAGCATTCATGCAAAATTCAGCAATGCAGAGCCATCGTATGCCATCCTGAAGTCATATTTGGGCAGTAAGTTTTGGGACCCTCTCGGAACATCCTGAAGCAGCACCGAAGCCTCTTGGTGCCATTTCGTGGCTTCGGTGTGCCGTCTTACGGCGACCGTTTTTTTTCAACGGTACTCGGTAATTCGGGGACCATATTGTGGTTTTGATGTTGGCCATGTGTGGACATCTGGGGACCATGTTTGGGAAACCTCGAGGGATCCGTTGACCTTGCTGGGGCCACCTTGGGGGATTTTGGGCCAGGTTTTGGGCCCCACCACGCCCTGGTTTCCCCAGGCCTCACTGGTTCGTGCATGCAGTTAGTTCGGCTACTGAATGGGGCTTGCCCCAACGTTTCCACATTGCTTCCAATTGCTGATGGCCCATGGTTTCTCGCGGAAGCCCTGGACGCGACAGGCGGCACAAGGAGGGCAGAGGGGGTAAAGGAGGTTGTGCAGGCAGCGGCACCATCCAGGGTGCTATCCAGAGTGCCATGTGGCTGTGCACCAATTGCGGTTCTGTGAAGAACCCGTTCTCCTCGATGTCGTGTAAGAATTGCAACGGACCGTGTCATGGTGGTGTCCCTTTGGCTGCTCCTGCTCGTCCTGCTGGCGTCTGGGCTCTGGAAGACGCCCCTCAGGTGCGCTCGCCGCTTGCAGCTGGCCCGCAGATGCCATACTTTGGCGGAGGCGGGTGGTGGGGTCAAAGCCCAGGCCCTTGGTCCTGGTCGCCGCATGGGCCCCCGGGCGGAGCCGACCAGCGCGGCAGCGGCGGCTCGGCGGGCGGCCAGGAGAGCGGGCAGCAACAGCAGCAGCCTCATGCCTTGGTCCCAGGTCCGCCAGGAGGCATCCAGCAGCCCAAGTCCGTTGCCAGCCTCACGGCGGAGGAGCTTGAGAGTTTCATCAAACTGCATGGTAAGGTCGGCAACTCCTTCGAAGCGGGGAGGTGCCGCGATCAGCTGCAGGCCTTGCTGCCGCCGCCGAAAGCACCTGAGCCGCTGGAGGACCAGCTCGCGAGGTGCCAGAAGGAGCGGCTGCGGCACGGCAAGCAGATGGAGAAGGAGCTGGCCAATATGGAGAAGATGGAGGGCCTGCTGGCGAATCAGCGGCGGCATCTGGCGGTCGTGGCGGATGAGCTCAAGCACCTGGGCCAGGCGCATTGCGAGCCCGCCCAGAAGGTCGCCAAGGCCAGCGCCGCCAAGCCTGTGCGGGTCGAGTGCGTGGACCCTCCCACGATCGATTTGGGGAGCACGCTGGAGGGCAAGGTGGACTCTTTCCGCATATACATGGGGTGTGCTCACTGTTGTTGATGATGACGAGTTGGATCCTGCAGGCCTTCAGGAAGTTCAAAAGCGTCAGGAGCAGCTGCAGAAGGGGTCGCAGGACATGGCGCGAGAGCTTTTCACGAAGGCCGCGGAGGCAGCCCGAGAGGCCTGTGCAGCTCAGCGAGCAATGGCCGCACGCCTTGCGGGGAAGAAGCGGCGCGCCGCCGACGGCGAAGCAGCGGGCGCCCCCCTCCCCCCTCGGCCGCAGAGGCTAGTGCTGGTAGCGCTGGCGGGGCTGCTGCTTCAGGCGCTGCCTCCTCCTCTGAGCCTGGGAGAGGTTGCTCTCGGAGCCAGTCCGAGGGGCAATCGTGTGAAACTTTGCTTCGGCGAGTGCGAGCATGCGCCGCGCGCGTTGCAGGCGCCGCTGGCCGAGCCCAGCCTACGCATCAGACCCCCCCTGCAGATCAAATGTGATGTTGGTGGTGGTCACGTTGAGGATATCCGCAGGGGGGTTTGTCTGGATCATGGTTTGCGACGTTCGCCAGAATTTGTGTCCAGTCAGTGCCGGGTAGAACGCGCCCTTTTTGCTTCTGAGCGCAGCTCGGGGGGTGCCGCGGCCCCCGAGCTGCCGTCTGGGACTGCTGCTGCCCGTCGAGGCCCGTTGTCTTCGAGAGGGCCAGCCGAGGCGGGCGGCGGCCCTGTGCGCGGTCTCGACGCGAGTTTTTTCAGAGCTGACGTTCCGGGCCATCTTAGTTCCACTGCCGCCGTCCCCTGTCCTGAGCGCCGAGAGCTGGTTGTCCAGACTGAATGGCAACGCCTGGAGTGCCACCAAGGATTGGCTAGGCTCTCGCGGGGCCCGCGCTGCGTTGATCCAGGGGCGCAAGATTGTGCCCCAGGAGGGCCTCGACGCGGCCTCGGCGCGGTGCTACGGGAATGGCTGGCGCTCCCTCTGGAGCCTGGGGGACGCGGGCCCAGGAGGGGGCCCCTCCTCGGGGGTGGCCATTCTGGCCCGTAGTTGGATGGGTCTGCGCTCGTCCCCCGACTCGCTGTTTCTTTCGGGTCCGAGGGTCCTCGCAGCCATTGCCCATCCTCCTGGGGGCCAGCATTGCATGGCTTGCGCGTGCTATTTTCACGATTGCGAAGGGCTGTCTGAGGGCAACTTGGAGCTGCAAAGTGCACGGGGCTCGAGACTCTCCACGGCGGGTGTGCCGTTCTTGCAGGGTGGCGACTTCAACCTGGACCCAGGCGATCTGATGTCCTCGGAGGCCCCCCCCCCCCCCATAATCTCAAGGCTCAGGTCGCGTGCGCCAAGGGGCGCGCCTGTTTGCTAGCAAGATCGCCTCCCAGGAAGTTCGACTTTTTCGTCCTGTCGGCAGGACTTGCCAAAACCGTGAGCTCTTCTGGGCTGAATCGATCGGCAGCTTTTTACCCGCGCAGGCCTGTGCATCTGGTGTTCCACTCTGGTCTGGCCTGCTTGCGATCGCGGTCCGTTCGGAAACCCCGGGCTGATCCCCGTGGACCCCCCGATCGAGGCTTTTCAGCCATGACGAGGCTGTCGCGGCGCAGGTGTTTAGGGTTTTTGGCGCCAGGCCTGGATCTGACGCGCCTTTGGATATTTCCAGTGGCTTCGCCATCCACGCGGACGTGGGGCAAGAGCTGGTCGGGTGCATTTTCGTGGATGGCTCGTGTAGGAAGGCGCCCATCCAGGAGATTTGGAGGGCGGGGTGGGGCGCTGCGAAGCTCTCGTCCAATGGCGAGCTTCGGGCGATCCTGTGCGGCCCCCTCTCTTCTAGTTGCCCTCGGACCAGCCGGGCTGCGGAGTTTGGGGCTCCTGCTAGTGCAGATGCTTATGTGTCCCCGAACCGCGTCCGATTTAAAAGCGGTTACCAGAATGTCGTCGAACTTGGGGCGCTGGTGCGGCCCGAACGGTGCTCGTTCTTCGGGGTTCTCGTTGCAGGCTGACGCCTTAGCCGACGGCGCCATCGACGGTGTAGATAAGGCGCAGGCTCACCCCGAGCTGGACTTGTCTCCTGACGACGACGAGCTTTTCAGGGGGGGTAGCGATTGGGCCGACAGAGCTGCGCGGTTGGGTGCGTCTTTGCATCCTGACGGTGCGGGGGGCGACCGCCAGCGAGGATGCGCTGTGTATGACAGCGTATGCGACGACGTGACCTGGCAGCGCTCCACCAGCATCTTCGACACCCCTACTGGGGCGCAGTTGCAGGCCGCAGCGCGCTGGCTTTCTCATGGCTCCAGGCAGCGCGAAGCGAGGCCGAGGTCAGCCAGAATCGTTTCAGTCTGCTGCTCATGATGGATTATAGCAAGTTCTACGAGGGCATCCCGCTAGAGATCTTGCGAGATCGTTTGCAGGCCTGCGGTGTGCCCATGCCGATTCTCGGGCTGATGTTCAACGCGTAGCGATCACCACGTATCATTCGCCACTTTTGGCTTGCCAGCAGGATGTGCTTTAAGCTAGGGAGAACCCGACCAGCCTACTCCATACCAAGGGTGTCGTTTCGGTGCCCCCAGGGGACATCCCTCCTGTCTTCGGGGCCCCTGCGGCCGAGGTCCTGGACGGGCCGGGGGACGTTTTCCCCGGAATGGAGCCCGAGCAGGTTGTTCAGTTTGTATGTCGAAATGACAGCTTACACATAGCGGTGGACGGCAGCAGTACTATGCCGATTTTGTCATGTTTTCAGCGTGCTGCATACGCGGTCGTTTTGTTTGATCCCCAGTCCGAGGCCGCCCTGTCTGTTGTGCGTGGCGCTGTGCTTGTAGGATTTCCGCAGACCCCCGCGATGGCCGAAAATGCCTCGATTGCTGTTGCTTGTCAGATTGCCGATCGCAGTACGTGTATGCATGCCGATTGCGCAGCTGCCATTGCCCAGGCCTTTCTACCAGAGCACGAACAGCTTCGTGCGAGTAAGGTTTTTGCAGGGGTCTCGGCTTTCGCCCGCTCGCTTAGTGGGCGCGGCCACGTCAAGTCCATCCAGCATGTCAAGGCTCACCGAAGCGAGGGAGTGATAGATAACTTGCCGCCCGCGGAGCGAGGTCCAGCGAAAGGTAATCGCGCTGCTGACTTGCATGCGAAAGAGGCTATACAGTTGCGCCCTCCCATGGGCCCTGAAGCGGCCAATCGTCTGGGGGCTGACGTCGAGACCGCGAGCCGCTTTGTCCAGTTAGCTGCCTGCGTGTTACCAGCATTCCAATCGAGAGCGCAGCGGGAGAGACCCTTCGCCCGACACCACTCAGTGAAGTCCACCCCAGGATGGCACGAATGGGGGAGTGGACCGCTGGGCATTCAATGTAAGCATTGTCTGATGGTTGCCCGCGAAGGGGCTCCCCAAGAGGCCCTGGGCTTGCTCTGGGCCCCCTGAGTTCGTTCGTTTGGTCGTCCGCCGTTCACTGGGGCACCTCCTTGTCGGTGTGGCCTCTCATGTGATCCACCCCAGAGCCCCGGGGCCTTCTTGGACTAAGGCGAACCGTTTCCAGTTTTTGCGTGTTCGGTGCGGATGCTGGGCTCAGAGGCGCTCCCGCAACCTTGATAAGGGGTGCCATCGACCCCCGAGGAAGGGCCGTGAAGTACTCAGCAAGTATTCGCGAGGACTGGGCCCCAGCAACCGAGTCCGCCAGTTTATTCATAGAGCAGCGGCGGTCACTGCAATGCCTGTGGCCCCCGAGCCGCGCTGTCAGACGCTGGCTCGTACGTCAGTACCCTCGGCCCTTTCAAGTGCCCCCGCCGTCCCTGAGTATGAGCGGCGGCTGGCCGCCCTCGCTGAGCGTGCGCGGGCCACGGAGGCGTTGAAGGAAGAGGAATAACATTGAGAGGTGGCACCCTGTCGCGGGCCCTGGTCAGAGCGTTGGGAGCTCTGTCCTCCAGGGTGACAAATCCCTCTCTGAGGGGTGCCACTTCCCCCCTTTGTTTTAGTCTTGCGAGACTCTTCCCCTCGGGGCTGTCCTGACCTAACCGCCCCCATCCTCCCTGGGAGGCCATGGGGGGCCCTGAGCACGTAGAAGCCGAGGCAGCGCTGTCAGGATGCCCTGGGCCGGCGCAAGCCGAGGCATCGCAGCCATGAGGGGGGGCATCAGCGCGTTCGAGTCATAGAGGTCGCGAGCGCAGTCGCGATTGATCCTCACCACAGCACAGCGCATCAAACTCAGCCTATTATGGTGACCAGCTCGCAGGAGGCCAACGGATATGCACACAAAGGAGACAATGGTAGAGTAGAGTCCACAAAAGACATGGACAGGGACATATACAAGTCGACGGATCAGGGGGGAGAAAGAGAGCCAGGGAAGGCTACCTATGGATCGTTCACATTGTTAACACAGTCTGTAGATAGCAGTGTATCCAGTTGCGCTACCGCGTGATTCCGCCACCGTGCTCGGGCGGGCGCGGTGTGTGTGTGTGTGTGTGTGTGTGTGTGCGTGCGTTCGTGCGTGTGTGTGTGTGTGTGTGTGTGTGTGTGTGTGGTTGTGTGGAGGTTTTTTGGGGGGCGCGGGGGGGCGGGGGGGCCGCGGGGCTCCCTTTCCCCTCTCCCAGCCTTTGTATTTGGTGCCACTTCTTGTCTGTAAGGCCAAACGCGCGGGGACCTGGCCACGCACGCGAACGCACCTTGGGCTCGACACGTCTTTTTTTGTCTGGGGTGGGGGGGGCGAAGGGGGGCGCTTAATTCAGGGGCGAAAGAAGGACGTACACGTGCATGAATCCACGCTGGTTTCGAGATTACGCATTGCGCGAATGTCCGTATCGTGCGGCGGGTCTCGCGGATCGAGGGGCCGCGTTCATGTACATCGTTGGGCGCTGTCGTCCTTTCTGGGCTCCCTCTGCTTCGCAAGGCGCGAATGTGCCCGACGCACACCGACCGCTGCAAGCGCCGTGGATAGTTCACACAATATGTAGATACCTGTATACGTGTGTGTATATCTATATGCACATCTACGTATATATATATACATATATATATATATATATATATATATTGATGTATGTGTGTATGTATATATATATATATATGTATACATCTATATATACACATACATGTATACACGCGTGTATAAACTTATATATATATATATATATATATCTACATATGTTTGTATATATATATACATATATACATATATAAATACATATATATATACACATATATATATATATATATATATATATATATATATATATATATAGATGGCTTCGCCCCCCCTGCCGCAGACCACCTCTCTATCATAATGGGATACATCAGGTTCGCGACGATGCTTCTCGGCGCAGCCTTGGCGCATCTGGGAACATCATGTGGGGGCGGATCCGAATCATCAGCGCTTGTTGAAACGTCGGCGTTATCCCAGTGGCCTTCGGCCCATCCCGCCACCGTGTCTGGGTTGTGGGTCTGAGGCCTCTTGTATATGTGTTGGGGTGTCGTGGGCTTTGGCCCCGGAAACGGCAGGGCCGTTCTCTCACCGTTTCCCAAAAAATGTCCCTTGAAAACGGGAAACGGGAAGAAAACCGCTCCAGGATTGGAACCGGAGCCGGATCCGGTCAAAAAACGGCGACGGAACCGTAACAAGACGGGAACCGGCAACAAAAACTGCAAAACGGAACCGGTAAAAAAACGGCCCTGTCGTTTCCAGGGCCCACTAAGGTCGTGGGGAGCTTCTCGTCTTGGAGGTGGTTTCGGCGCCTCTTGGAGGCCTCTTGGGGCCTCGTGGGATACCTTTTGGGCCTTTTGGAGGCCTTTTTGACGCGTCTTGGGCGCCTCTTGGGGCCTGCGGCTTGGGCTGGCTTGGGGCGGTCTTGGGCGCTTCTTGAGCCATCTTGGAGCGTCGGAAATCTGAAGATGCGAATTCCAAACTCCTTCAAACACCTTCTGTCAAATCGACGACGTTGGCCTCTTGGAGCGCTCTTGGGGCCTCTCGGGGCCTTTTTTGGGCTGTCTTGGAACCATCTTCGGGCGCCTTGGTGCAGCACTGGGCCTCGGCAGTACGAATATGGGGTAACGTTTGAGGGCTTATGGCCACCTGGACGCGAATGCTGAATACTTTACAAAGGTTTGTTGCCTCGAGGGCGCAAGGATGGCGATTTGCGAGGGTTTGTGGCCTCGGGGACGTGAATATTGGGCAATGTACGGGGGGATTCTGGCTTCGGGGACGCGACTACGGTGTAATTTACGAGGGTCTGTTGCTTCGGGGACGCAGAACTTCAGTAAGTTACGAAGGCTTGTTGCCTCAGGTGCGCAACAATTGTGTAAATTGCAAGGGGCGATGGCCTCGGGGATGCGAATATTAGGTAATTTACTAAGGTTTATTGCCTCGGGGACGCAAGAATTGTACAATTTGCGAATGCTGCTAGCCTCGGGGACGCGAATATTGTACAATTTTTACTGGATCGAGGCCTCGGGGGCGCAAGTGAGGAGTAATTTACGGAAGCTCGTGGCCCCAGAGGCGCGAATGTTGTATAATTTACGGGAGATCGTGGCCTCGGGGGCGAGAATATGGTGCATTTTGCAAGGGATTGTGGTTTCGGGGACGCGAATATGGTTGCAATTTGCAAGGGATCGTGGCCTCGGGGACGCGAACGCAGGGTAATTTATGAGGGATCGTGGCCTCGGGGACGGGAATGCAATGTAAGTTATGAGGGACTATTGCATCGGGAGCGCGAATATGATATATTTTTACGTGTCCAACGGTCCCGCAGGAATTCAGACAACGCGTTTCGAGGGTGGCAGCCGGGTGGCTTTCGGCTCCCCCCCCCTCGCGCGGATTTCAACCATTCACAGTAGTAAGCAGACAGCAGGATTGTAATATTGGAGACTGGAATTTGGAATTGGTGCAGGGCACTGAAACCTGATCCTCGCAGCCTGATGGCCCCCCCTCTATATATATGTATATATACACAGATATGTTTAGTTACATGTATCGCATTATGTATCATGAGACAGGTCGGGGGAGATAGACATGGACATCCTCCCCGTCCTTTGGCTTTGCGCTTCATCTCCCCGTTCAACAAAAACATCAGCAGGGGTGGCTGCGGAAGGGGCCCCCGCGCGCGATCTCAAGCTCGCCCTTGGGAGCCTGCGGATCCTCGACTACATCACGCAGTCGGCCGCCGCCGTGCTGCAGGATGCAGGCGACAGGAAGGAGGCGCTGGCCGAGCTGGAGGACCCCAGGGGATGGGGGAGCTCCTACATCTCGTGCGCCCAAGGGATCCAAGGGGCCCCCTCCTCCCCCACCTCCCCCTCCTCCTCCTCCTACTCCTCCCTCCTCCTCCTCCTCCGCCTCCGCCTCCTCCTCCTCCTCCTCCTCCTCCTCCTCCCCTCCTCCTCCTCCCTCCTCCTCCTCCCTCCCCCCCTCCCCTCCCCCTCCCCCTCCCCCTCCCCCTCCCCCCTCCCCCTCCTCCTCGCCTCCTCCTCCTCCTCCTCCGCCTCCGCCTCCGCCTCCTCCGCCTCCGCCTCCTCCTCCCCCTCCTCCTCCTCCTCCGCCTCCTCCTCCCGGTCACATGGAAGCGCCCAGGAGGCCTCGGGAGGCGGACCAGCACGGGAGACCAGAGAGACACGGCCGCCCGGCACGGATCAGAAGCGCGGCAGCCCAGACCAGCCCAGCACACCAGAAGTTATTTGAATGCCCACGACAGACCAGCATCATCTTCTCGCACCTGCCTTGCGCATGCCTTCTCACCACTCTGTCTCTCTTCCCGTCCATCTGGCTCGCGCGGTGTCTTGGCCTTCTGCCCTGTCCCTTCGAATGTCATGGCTCAGGCCAGGGCTGGGTCTTGCGGCGCTGGGCAGCGAGAGGGGCAAACCATTCCCTACAGGGGCAGCAGGGTGATGGAGTAGGAACTGCCCGAGCCACCTCCGCCCAGAGGGCCTTCGGTGTAGGGCTTCGAAAGCGCCCTAAGAGACCCCCCCCGAGAGGCGTCTTAGGGTTGCCGAGAGTTCCCGGGCCTTCCTGAAGACTGCTCGGAACGGTATTGGGGAACGTCGGAATCCTTGTGGACAGGATCGGCTTCCCAGGGGCCCACCAGAGAAACGCGGGAGGTGTGCGGTAAGAGTCTTGCGGTCTCTCTAGCACTCACATGTGAGTGAGCCTTTGGGCACTCCGACAATCTTCTCAACGCACGGTTGCGGATTGGAGCTTATATCGAGCGTGATCTTGAGTTGCGACCAGCAGTTTTCGTTACAGTGCTCCGTCGAAGTTGCAGCATGTCGCTGTCGTTTTCGCAATCGCGGGGGTCACGACGCAGATTGAAGCTGCAAATGCCAGCCTGATCATTTCAAGTCGATCGGGAGCCGTCATGGGGGGGCTCATTCGTTCGAGATTGGACCTGTGCAGGATCTCGGACGGGGCTAGGACGAGGATCAATCCGTTCCAGAGCGTTCCAGAGCGCTCTCCGAGCGTTCCAGAGCGCTCTGGGAAGGCCGCGGCGCCCGAGACATCCTCCAGAACCGCCCGATCTCAGAGATTCTCGATTGATCCTCTTCCGATTTCACCTTCGTCCTGGCTTCGTCTTACAGGGGGGCATGGCAAGAAACACCCTGCTCGCCTCCAGGCTGCCCTGGGTTTCTTGGGCTTCGATGGTTCTGCGATGGAAAGCGTGACGCTCCCGCACCAAACTCCGTGGACGCCCTGGGGTCTCAGGGTTGGGCTTCTCGTGGAAGGTTTCTTGTGTCGGGGGAGCGTAAGACCCGGGTTTGCCAGGACTCGGGTTCGCCATCGTTTTTTGACGACCGCGCCTCGGATTTTGACGAGGAGGAGTTTCGTGGGATGTCTGCAGCGGGAGGCCTCGTCAAAATGCAGGCTCGGCCTCGTCATTTTTTTGACGACCTCGTCGGGGATTTCCGAGTCCCCCGTACCCGGGTCTTACGTCTCCCCGATTGTGGTCGGGCCCCTGCTGTGAGCTCCGGTGCCGAGTTCAGCACGGCCGTCACCGCGCTCGCCCACCGTGGCCCCGCTGTCTCCAGGGGCGCCCGCGGCGCGCGAGCCGCCGCTGCCCCCCGAGGACGCGGTGGTGCCACACCTCGAGGGCGCGGGCGTCGAGGACGCCCCTTGCTTTGCACGCCCCAGACGATTCGGCGTCCAGGGATGGCCCACAGGGAGCAGGGGCAGGGAGGGTTTACGTCGGGCATGCTCCTCTACAGGAGGAGTATCCCAAAGTAGTCAAAAAATGATATGGGGACGATTTTCTGACTATCTTCGATTGTTGGTGTGTGTGTGTGTGTGAATGTGTGTATTTGGTGGTTACGTTTCATTATTCCACCAAAATCCGCCTATAGGAGGACATGTCCTACTTAAGGATCGCCCACAGGGGGCAGGGGGCAGGGGCAGGGAGGGGTGGTGGTGGAAAGGCTCGTGGCACAGTGAAACTGGGAAAGTGGCCGGGCCTGGCGTGCCTCACTTGGTCCCAGGCGCGACGGCCTTGGGGCGGCTGGGCCAGGCCATCCTGGAGGCGGCGCGCCAGCCGCGCTCCCGGGCTGGGCGGCCGAACATCCATCTGGGCGACGCCCCTCGTTCGGTCTGGTGGGCTCCCGGTCGGAGAGGGACCGCAGCGCGGCGAGGGTGCTGCTGGCCTGGGTCTCGTGCGGCCTCTCGACGGCGTGGTCGAAGTGTGGCAGGGGCCCTCCTGCCCCCCGGATCGGGCGGGGCTCCGGCGTGTCGGCAAGCTCGGCGACGGAGTCGGCGTCGTGCGCGTCCCGCAGCAGGGGGTCGAGGAGGTGGTCGAGTCGGCCGAAGACCTGCTGGACCGCACCACGCCTCCCAGCCGGCGTCTGCGGAGGCTCGCCGGCCGAGTGGGCTGCAGCGCCCACCTCGCCGCCCGGGCCGGCCGAGGAGCGGGCGCCCCGCGAGAGGGCGGCGGGGGCGCGGCCGCCCCGCGCCTGCCGCGGCGGCGGCCCCCGCCGCCACCCCGCCGCGGCGAAGCAGGCGGCGCCCGCGCTCCGGTGGCCGCGGCCGTTCTGCGGCTCAGACCCAGGCGTGATCGCGTCGTGAAAAATGCAGGACGGAGGTTTGCCGCCGGTTTTTGGCCTCCACAGGACCTCGCCGGGCCCCGGGACCGTCAAAAAACAACTCAGGATGAAAAACCGGACCCGGGGAAAGGGTCGGGATTCCTGGGGACGCCGCCCTGACAAAAATCAGGACGTCGCATGTCTGGGGAGGACGCTCAGCTGTCCAGAACCTGTCGCCTGGACAAGCCGCCCGTTGCGCTGGTCCCGGGCGCGCCGCCCTGGGGGCTCGGCGGTCATATCGCGCGTGCCGGCTCGCGCGCTCCTCGGCAGTGTGGAGGGGACGCCCTCGCGGCGCATGATGCCGACCGGTTCGCGCCCCCCGCCGAGGACCCTCGGGGCCAGCAGTGTCAGGGGGGCCCTCGACGTGCTGGTTGCGACCGGGCAAGGTGGCCAGTTCGTCGCCGTTGCTCAACGGGCCCGGGGCCGAGCTGGTGCTCGCGTTGGAGACTTGGCGGTGAGCGGGCCCTGGCGCCGCGCGCCCCCCGGGCGACGAACGTCACTGCATACCAGGTGTCGAGATGCTCGCAGCCAGGCGCCCCGGCCGATCCGCCGCCCGCGTTGATGCATGCTCGGCGCAAAGCAGCGCCGCGCGAGACCCAGCCTTCTTCCGAGTGCGGGGGCGCGCCATGGGCCACCCCGCTGCGCGAGAGGTAGCTGAGGCGAGATGGCTCCTTGGGATTGGCCCGGGGGGCTTGGCGCCAGGGGTGAACAGTGTCGAGGTCGCGCTTCCTCTGTGACAGATGCGCGGCATGGAAGACGGGACGCTGCTTGCAGGCTTTCATGTGAGGGCGCGTGTGATGATTGCTGGCGTTCCATGGTTTCCTGTTGGCGAATCGGAGGCGTATTTTCCATCCCTGGCACTCGGTGCATGCTGCGTTCTACGTAGTGATGCATAAGTAGTTTGCCATGGTGTTGTGGGAAGCGCGCGTTCGTTGACTCTCGCATGTCGCCGCGGGCCGGGGGGGGGGGGGGGGGGGCGCCAGACGGGCTTCCGCGGCCCTGCGGGATCCGCGGGAGCCACGGGCAGCCGCGCAGTGGAGCGGACTGGCCCGCCGCGTTCGAGGCGGCAGCGAACTCGCCACGAGAGGTACTTCGCCTGGGTCCCTGCCTCGGCGCAGCTGCGTTCGCCGGCGGAAGGCCGGACGGCGCCCCCCTTCCCGCCCGCTCTCTCCCTCCGTGACACCCGTTGGCCCGCGCGAGCGCCGGCAGGGCCCGCGGGCGCCCCGAAAGAGTGCCAGTCGAGCTGGGGTGCCCCTGGCTCTGTGGAGGACGATCAATGGAGAGGAAGCTTGTTGCCAAACAGTTTCCAGATTGTCTAAAAGATGTTTTAAACATGTTTTTTTTAACATGTTTCAAACAGGTTTAACACATGTTTAGAGCATTTCCCTACATTTTAAGCATAGGACTCTTACGGTGTCCATTGTCGTGGCATCTACAGCCCTGGCTGCCTATCTGGCGCGCCCCTCGCCACTGCTGGGCGACGCAATTATCGGCCCGCCCGCGCCGCCAGCGCTTCCCCCCCGCCGGGCGCCAGGGGCGGCTGGAGGGCCGTGGGCGGCGGCGAAGGGATCGGGCCTGCGAGCCTCGGTGCCCAGAGGCCAGCGTGGCGGTTTGGCGGCGAGGAGGGGCTCGGAGCTGCCCCCGAGCGCGCCGCGCCGGGTCGCGCCCCTCGGCGGCGCCTGGGCACTTCTGGCGGTCGCGATCGAGGGCGCGCCGCGGGGCCTCTGGGGGGGAGCTGGCGTCTCCCGGGCACGAGGGGCTCCCAAGGGGCTTTCGGGCGCGGCGCGAGTGCGATTTGGGCGAGCCCCCGGGCAAGAGGCCCGGAGGCGTGGCCGATCGGGCGATCCAGGTTGCCGGCGACCCCGTCGGGCTCCAGGCGGCCGTCGGCGCGCTGCAGACGAGCTCTTCGCCGCGAGCACCACGGGCGCGAAGGCGTCGAGAAAGAAGGGGCCCGCGTGCTTGGCGGCTCAGCGCGGGTTCCCACGGCCGTGTCCATTGGAGGAGGAGGTGGTTGCCAGGGTGACTGGCCGCCGCCCCGCGAGCGGCCTGCTGCCGCTCGCATTCTCGTGCGTCTTCCAGCTCGTGCCGGGCCGCGTCGCGATGGGCTGCGACCTCCTCCCGGCCGCGCTGCGGCTGCTCAAGGAGGTCGAGCGGCGTCGGGCCACCCGACGAGGCGCCAGAGGCCCGCGTCGAACATCTCGTGGACGATTGCGAGGCGGGATCGACTCTGCTGATCTTCTTTGGCTCGGAAGACTTGTGCGCGGCCGCTGTGGGCTGGCTCTCCAGGGCCGGGGAGCTGGTCGGGCGCGGCCGTCGCCGGCCAACTTCGCGCTGCGCCGCGGCTCCAGGGGCGTCGCCCTGCGGCTGCTGGTCTCAAAGGCTGACCGTGCGGGCAATGATGCGGCGCGGCGGCTGGGATGCGCGTGCGACTTCGAGGTTCAGGGGCGGCATCGCGGAGCCCGTGGCGGCCTGCGCGCACTGCGCGGCCAGGAGGGAGGAGGTCCGCCTGGCGGCGACGTTTGTCGCCAAGCTGGGGGGCCAGCGCGGGCTGCTGCCTGGGGGGGGGCACTCCTCCCTGCGCGAGGGTTGATGGGGCGGCGTGCCCTCGATGGCTGCCCCGGTGCGCGGTGGCAGGGCCCCTGGTGGGCATTCGGGCCGCCAGGCTGGCGCCGAGCTGCTGGCGGAGCTGGGCTATGGTCCGTCGGGGTGGTCTGCAGTGCCTCGGCCGCCAGGCCGCCAGGCGCAGTGTGCGGGGGCGTCGCCGAGGCGATGGCCGAGTGCGCTGCGTCGTGGCGCGGCAGCGCGTCGGCGGGCGCGGCTCCGGGGGGCCCCGCCGTCCAGGGCAGCGGTGCGCTCGCCGGGTCGACGGCCCCCGCGACGCCCCCGAGCTTCCCTCGCGGGGAGCACTTGGGATCGCAGGGTCGCTCGGCTCAGTTTTCGTCCAGGGTTGACCGCTCCAGGGCAGGCGATCGACGAGCGCGCGTGGGCGAGGTCCCAGCTGGCGCAGGAGGTGGCGGGCCCGGGGGCGCAGCTGGCGAAGCTTAGCTTCGTGCTGGGGCCACAGGGCGTCCGCCGCGTGGAGGAGGGGTGCTGCTGTGGCCCACTGCGTTGTGGACCACCGCGTGTGAATGGTGCTCTGAGAATTCAGGCAGGTTGGCACCGTTTCCTGACGAGGTAGGCGAAGCGCGCCTGAGTTGCGCCAGGTTTTTTCACGGCTGCGCCGTGGCATGCAGGTACCGCTGGAGAAGCGCCCGGCCCCATCACAGGCTTGAAGTCGCCAGTCCCCGAACGTTGCTCGCATTCAGTTGGGGGTCCTCTCTTGCCTTGCAAGGAAGCGGGCCCGTGCGCGGCCCTGGCGGCCCTGTTCCCGTCAGTCACCGCACCATGTTTCCAGATAGGAGGCCCGTGTTCGGGTTCGACGGCCCCGTGACCGTCCGTCGCCGCCGCCCCGTCGCATCCCTCCCGTTGCATTGCAATCGCAGTGCCCCCCCGTTGTACAGCAATCGCAACGCATTGCAACCGCATTGCGCATGGTATAACATAGCAATCGCATTGGTTTGCTTTGCCTTGCGTTGCTTTCCAATCGCATTGCGCTGCAATCGCTTCGCATTACATTGCAATCGCATTGCATTGCTTTTCCTTGCTTTACATTGCTTTGCATTGCTTTACATTGCTTTGCATGCGTTGCATTGCTTTGTAGTACTTTGCATTGCTTTGCATTTCTTTGCATTATGTTGCATTGATTTGCATTGATTTGTATTGATTTGCATTGCGTTGTTCTGCTTTGTTGTGCCTCGCGGTGCCTTGCCTTGCTTTGCTTGTTCTTGTTTTGCTCTGCATTGCATTGCATTGCATTGCATTGCATTGCATTGCATTGCATGGTTTTGCACGGCTTTTTATCGGTTTGCAAGGCTTTGCATTGCTTTGCGTTGCTTTGCATGGCTGTGCATTGCTTTCAATTGCTGTGTATCGCTTTGTATAATGTTTGAGGGTCCACGCTGGCTAGCCTTTGTTGTACTGGGCGGGTTCAGATGCTAGGGAGGGGGGAGCCGAGGGAGGGTGGTCGTGGGGAAGTAGTCCGGGGAGCGGGAGGGCCCCCTTGCTCCTCCTGCACCATCGGGCCCAGGCAGTTGAGGTCGGCCCGGAGGCTGCACGAGGCCCGCTTCCCCGCAGAAGGCTGGCACATCTCGAGGCGATGCGGAGCTTCCAGAGCCTCGCTGCCCTGGCCGCGGCGGCGCTCCCCTCGGGGTGCCGTGCGCACTGGCGCCTGACGAAGCCGGTGCCGCGGTCGGGGGGGGTCTACGAGAACGACCCGCTGCCGCCCGGGGCGAACACGCAGGAGCAGTGGGTCTGCCGGCACGCGCAGCCGAACCCGGCCGTGCAGCGCCCGACCCTCGTGGCCGGCAGCACCACCGGCATCGTCTACGGCACGGGGGCCGTCGGCCACGCCGGGGACTGTGCGGTCTACGTCTCCTACGACCTGGGCAGGCCGCGGGCTGCCATGCGGTGGGTGAAGATCGCCAACCTGCCCGACTGCAGGAGCCAGATCAACCAGAACGTCCCCATCGCCGTGCCCGCCGAGCTGCCCGCGGGCAACGCCGTCCTCCGCTGGGACCAGTACGCGCTCCACCAGGTCGCGAACGTCCCTCCCTTTCTCGAGTGGTTCATCCAGTGCGCCGACGTCACCATCGCCTCCTCGTCGACGCGCAGCTGGGAGACCTTCAACACCTTCAGCATCATCGACAACAGCGGAACGCCTGCCTACCCCTCCAGCGTCAGCAGCTACCGCAGCCCCTACGTGCCCGGCCAGTCGGCCCCTGGGGAGCCTGGCTTCTGGATGACGGGCCCGGCCTGCGTCAACGCCTCGCTGAACCAGTGCGCCCTGACCGCCGTCGGCACCAAGGGGTACACGGGCTTCGGGGGCGAGGGCGCCCCCGCGGCCTCGCCCGCGCCCGCCGCCCCCGCCCCGTCGCCAGCGCCGGCCGGGACCGCTCCAGCGCCGGCGGCCCCTGCGCCGTACCCGGCCGCGCCCAGCCCCGCGCCGCTGCCGCCGGCAGGCGACGCCATGTGCTGCTACGACGCGGGCTGCGCTGGGTACGGCACCTCCCTCTGCAGCGGGGCAGGCGCTGCTTTTTGGGGGAAGTCAGAAACCACGGGGGCGCCGAGATTCCGCCCCCACCCCGCCCCCCTTGGGATGTGACGGGGCACTCGAGGTCCGACGACGCGGCAACATGGCAGCATCGTAAACAAAATTTCGGCCGGAGCCCCGGACCCCAGCTTTCTGCGTCATTTTCCACGCGGAGTCGACCTGCGAGGTGCCAGGGCCCAACATCGGGCGGAAGCTGCCGGTTCGAACAAGTTGTGGCGCCATACAGTGGAGGCCATGCCAAGAAACACCCTGTTTGCCTCCAGGGCGCCCTAGGTTTCTTGGGTTTTCGCTGGTTTTGCCATGGAAAAAGTAACGTTCCCACACGAAAGATCCGTGGACGTCCTGGTGTCTCAGGGTTGGGTTTCCTGCGGAAGGTTTCCTGTGGACTGGCCTCCGCTGTAGGGGCTCAGGGAAGAAGGGGGGCGCCGGCGCGTCGCGCGGGGGCCGAATCTCGAGACGGCTTCGCGCTTGCCGCCCTGGAGGCACGTGGTGCTCTGGGTCGGGGGAGGCCTGCCAGAGCTGCGGGGGCTCGCTGTGCGCCGACCCGGCGGGCGCCGCCCTGGCGCCGCCCTCGCCGGCAGCGGCGCCCTCGCCGGCGGCGGCGCCCTCGACGGCGCCGTCGCCGGCGGCCGCGGAGGGGGCCCAGTGCTGCTACGCGGGGGGGTGCGCCTCCTACGGCACGAGGAACAAGAAATGATGTAAGCGTGAGCTTTCGGAGGTCCCCGCTGACTGCTGGGATCGGCGCTGGACCCCCCTCCCTGGTGCGCGGAGCGCGCCAGGGGCAGCGCCGGAGGCGCTGCAGGAGGGGCCCAGCGCCGATCCAAGAAATCCGTGCGGACCTCCGACAGTTTATGTTCGTGTCGTTCTCTTTGGTTCCCGAACGGCACGCCCTTCTGCAATCCCGCGGGGTCCTGGTGCTCTGGGTCGGCCGACGCGTGCTCGGGCTGCGGCGGCACGCTGTGCTCCAGCGCGTCCCTGGCGTCGACGGGGGGTCGCGCCAGGCCGGGGGCGCGGAAGTTCCTGCACAGGCCGGAGGGGCTCGGCGAGCACGCCCTCCTGCAGCTCGGCGTGGACTTCTGCGGGGCGGCGGGGGCGCGCGGCGGCAGGGCCTCTGGCGGCCGCGGCGAGCACTGAGCGCAGCGCGGAGCGTGGCTGGCCGTCGGGGCGGTCTCCGCGATCCTTCGCTGGCGGTAGCTTGAAGTGGCGTGCAGGCCACCCAAGTCGAAGAAGAACAAAACGGCATGAACAGAAACTTTGGGCTCTCCGCGCGGATCTCTTGGAGCCGCGCTGGCCACCCCCGGCGGCGCCTCCGGCGCCGCCCCTGGCGCGCTGTGCGCCAGGGAGGGGTGTCCAGCGCGGATCCCAGAAGTCCGCGCGGAGCGCCAAAAGTTTACAGTAGAGGCCCATGCCAAGAACCACCCTGCTTGCCTCCAGGGTGCCCTGAGGGTCTCTTGGGTTTCGATTATTTTGCCACGGGAAGCGCGACGTCCCCACACCAAACATCAATGGACGTCCTGGAGGTCTCAGGGTCGGGTTTCTTACGGAGGGTCTCCTGTGGACTGGCCTCCGCTGCGTGCCCATGCCGCTTGATCTCCTTCTGCCGAGGATCCATGCGCCCCGCGGGCCGACCGAGCGCGGCCCGCTCTGCCCCTTCGACGCGCCGGACGCGTCGGCCTCTCGCGCCTCGCTCTTTTGTCCTTCGGCTCGCGCCCGCCGTGGCGCCGTGCCTCTGCCTCCAGCCTTTCGCATGCAACTCCTGGGAGGTCAAGTTCTGATTTTGCTCTGGTCCGAAATCCGGCTTCATCCGGCTTGATCCAGCGCAACCCCGAGCAATCCCGCTTGATCCGAGGCCCACTCCGGCGTAGCAGCCTTCAATGGGGCTTCATCCTCCTTCCAGTCCTCCCGACGAAGACCTTTCCCAGGAAGTTGCCTCCTGACAGCCCCGGGCACCCGTGCGGCCGCACCCACGGTCGGCCGGCCCCCGGGGCCCCGCTCGCGCGCGCGGCGGCGGCGCTACAGCCTCCCGCCGCGGCGCGCCCGAGCCACGTACAGTGAAGCCACGCGCGCGCACCGGCTGCGGCAGAAAGAGGCCGCCCCGCCCCTCGTCTTTCTCGGCGGCGAGCGAGGGGGGGAGGGAAGCGTGGTGGAGGACGATCAATGGAGAGGACGCATGTTGCCAAATACTTTCCAGACGTTTGAACATGTGTCAAAACTGTTTTTAGCATGTTAAACACATGTGTGAAGCATTTTTAACACATATTTTTATTTCGGTGAGAGGACTGTTAGAGTGTCCATTGTCATGACATCCACAAGGGAAGCGAGGAGGAGGAGGAGGAGGAGGAGGAGGCCTTCTCCGAAGGCGGCGGGGCTCCTCGCAGGCCCCCGCGCCTCCCGAGAGGTTCCCTCTGTCTCCGAGGGGGGCTCCGGCGGCCTCTCGGCACACCGCCGGGGGACCTCCCGGCCCTCGGAGCAGGCCCGCCCCTCTCGCGCGCCCACCGGGCTCGCCGCCGGTGCTCTCTTGCCCGTGCTCCCCATCTTCCTGGCATCGCTCGGACAGGGAACGGACGTCCGAGCGATGGCCAGGCTTTCGCCTCCCCATCCTCCAGGCGCGGCGGCGCGGGGGGTCACGTCCTCCCGAGGGCCGAGGTCTGAGGGCCGAGGGTGGAGGAGGTGCTCGGAGAAGCTCGGGAGTTCAGGGCGGCCCAGCGCTGGGTCGGGCATGTGCCTCTGCAGGAGGAGTGTCCAAGAACAGCGAGAAAGTGTAATTAGTCCGGTGGCGATTTCTCCTACTTTTGTGACTCTTTTCGATTTCTGGCTGGACTGTGACTTATTTACCTGCCAGAATCTGCCTGCAGGAGGACATGCCCGACTTAATTCGAGTCATAGGCAAGCTAGGGAGCTGGGAAGCACACCGCTCAACAGGAAATCATCAGACACAGTCGCCTACAGTATCGAGGCGTCTGAGATTGGTCTGCTACCAGAGCTACAACTGAAGAACTACTTGCACTCTGCAAGCCTGGAGGGGGTCTGGGGGGTCCCGAGGGGCCCCCTCCTCGAGGCTGCGGCCGCGCCCCTGGGTGGTGGCTCTCTGGGGCATGGCCTGCCCGTCGTCCTTCCCTTGCCCTCCCTCGTCCCCTCCTCTCTGCCGGGGCTTGGCGACGGCGGCAAGAAGGATGCCTCCCGATGGGCCTTCCTCGATCCGAGCAGCGAAGCCCGGAGAGCTTCCCAGGAGCTGGCAGACGATGCAGACCATGAGGGCGATGAGGATCAGAGGATGAAGATGGTTTCGATGGCGGGAAAAATGAGGACGATGAGGATAACATGGCGAAGAGGGAAATGAGGAGGAGCAACGAAGGTACAAGGGGAGGGCAGGTTGCATTGTTCCTTTGGCACTTGAGAAAGATCGCGGCCGCTGCGAGCAGTCTCCTCGAGAGCGTGCGAAGGCTAAACGGGGGCTGTTGAACATCAAAGCCGTGGTCAAAAGGAACCCTGTCTGCTTATCTTTAGACCCTCGGAGTTGTTTGACGCATCTGGAGGCCTGTTGGGAGTCTTGGGGGGCACATTGTGGGGAAGGGCCCTCCGGGGGCCCCCTCGAGTTCCTCATCTTGAGCTCCTCTTGGGGCCCTCATGGGGGTCTCTTGGGCAGTCGGGGTGGCCTGCTGGGCCGTGCTGGGGTCCTCTCGGGAGCTTTCGAAGCAATCTTTGGGCGACCTGGGGGCCTCCTGGGCGGTCTCAGACACTCTGAAGATGGACAAGGCGAGTGCGTCAAACATGTGACACAAATCGAACGGAAATCCCATGTTGGTGCCTTTTGGCGCGCTGTTGGAAGTCTTCCTGGGGCTCTCTTGGGCTGCCTGGGGGGCCTATGGGCTGCGTGTGGCCCTCGTGGACGTATTCTGGGTCGCCCCCGAGCACTTGTCGACCGTCATGAAGCTATATTTGGCGATATGTACGAGTTACCAATCAGGGCCAGATGAGTCCGCCGTGCCAACTGACTACATGGAAGCTGGCAAAAGTGACTGGGGCCAGCCCATCACTCTTTTCAGCCCTGGCCAGTTTCCCCTTTTTTCCAGCCCTGGCGACCGCATCCCTGATGCTTCGGGCTCGCTTCACGCCCCGCCAATGTTTCCAGCCCTGGCCACTTCCACTTTCACTTATTTTCCAACTTCCACTTTTTCCAGCTTCCCTGCAAGACCGGGCGCCCTTCTCGTGAGGGTGGGGCGACTGGCCGACGGTTGCCCCACTGGGAGGGGTGCGCTACCCTTCGGCGGCGAGCGAGGGGGGGAAGTGAGAAAGGGAAGGCCTTCTCAGAAGGTTCGGAAGTCCCCCAGCCTTCCGAGCAGTTTTTTATTAGCCTTCTCCGAAGACGCACGGACCATTTCTCAGAAGGCGCGAGGGCTCCTGAGAAGTCCCGCCGCCTTCTGAGAAGGCCTTCTCCTCCTCGCTCCCGGGGCCTCTTGGAGCATCGCGGGAGCCATCTTGAGGCATCTTGGGACATCTTGAGCCATCTTGGAGGTCAGTCTTGGGCTCTCCCGGGCGCCATTGGAGTCATCTTTAATCAGTGCCCCCCCCCGGGAGGCCAACAATGGGGCCCAAACCGTGGTAAAGTCAATGATTTTGGCATTGTCGCCGAGGCCTCCTGGAGCCTCCTGGGTGCCTCGCCGCCGAATCCCGGTGACGGCCGCCACTGTTCGAACGCGGGGGGCCGGGGCCACGCGCGTGGCCTCCCGCGCCGGCAGAGGCGCCCAGTCCATGGGGAGGGCAGCCACATGGCCGGCTCCTCCTGGCCCACGGGGCTGGCAGAGGTCTCCCGGGCCCCCCCTGCGCAACCCGGAGGCCCAGAGTTGCCCTCGATTTCCAGTGAAGGGGGGGTGGTCGGGGAGCATCAAGAAAACACACACACACACGCACGCGTGTGGAACCCGTACCCCCCCCCAACCCGAAACTTGGGCGGGTCACACACACACACACACACGCACTCACGTGTGGAACCCGTACCCCCCACCCCAACCCGAAACTTGGGGTCTTCGGGTAGGGTTGGGGTGGTCTGGCAGGTAGTCACACTGGGAGGTTCGGCATCCTCGTCAGGGTCGCGGCTTGGTCGAGAGCCAGGGCGCCCGGCCCACACGGAGCCGGCAGAGGCCTCCGGCCCTCCGGGAGGGGGCGCCGTCCCGGTGGGGGTCGCCGTGTCTCGAGAGAGAGAGAGGGCGCCCGGGCCGCGACGGGCTCGCAGAGCTGGCAGAGGCCTCCATCTCACCGGGAGCAGCGCCGCCTCCACTTGGGCGGGTGGTGATGGGGGGGGGGTGACCGGACTCGGGGGCGAAGGCAGGGCCTCGACGGGCCTCGACGGGGCACTTCGAGGGCTCCTCCTCCTCCTCCTCCTCCTCCTCCTCCTCCTCCTCCTCCTCCTCCTCCTCCTGGGGCCCCAAAGGGGCCCTTTGGGGCCCCTTTGGGGCCTCTCGCCCCCCCTCTAGGTCCCCCCCCCGTTACCACCCGCCCGGTCCACAGCCCAGCAGGAACGCCGGCAGAGGTCTCGGGAGACCCTGCCTCGATGTCCGGGCCAGAGCCCTTTTTGCTAGCACGCACTCGGGGATTGGCAGCGAAACCGACAACACCTCAGGAAACACAGTGAAACACGATAGCAGCTCGGATGGTGACGACGCGTTCAAGAGCAACACAATCAGCTACGACAACTTTACGAGAGAACGTCAACATCGACAGGGACACCAATACCAACAACAATAACAGCATCGATAACCAGCAACAACAACCAACCACCAACAATAGGAACACGACCACATGTAATCACTAGATAATTCACACAACATGGTAACACCAATCCATAACAGTCCTACACGCGGCATGTCTAGCATAAGCAGCACACACGGCAACACCAACACGATACCAGCCATACCCGCATGAACAACACGCCCATCATTAGCAACCACAATATTATTAGCAACCGTAACATCAATCATAACATCAACTATATATAATCGCAACAAGGATCGCAACAGCCTTCGTAGCAACACATACGAGGGACGGAACAGGAGCCAAGGCACGACTTGCGGCAGTAGCACCACCAGTGAACACTAGTAACAATCACATGAACAGAACGTGCGGCATGAGCAGCCCTTTTTTCAGCAAGGACGGTAGAGGTATCCTTCCGAGCAATCTTGATGGCTAGGTAAGAACCCCTTTCTGCTAGTCATGTTTGGGGAAGCTTGGATTCGGATTGGAAGTGCTCAGTGGAGATTCAGATTTGGAATATATATAGGAGCCCTGAAGTTGCTCGTCAGCTTTCAGCTGGAACGATCTGAACCAACTGGGCGTCACAATGCATCCTTGCGTCGTACGCGGCGCGCTTTCATCGGATCTAGATCTCCCTAGGGTTCATTGGGAATCAGTCTTGATGTTCGACGCGGCCCTCAGGCGAAGGACATCGCCTCCTTCGTGCAGGCCCTCTTGGACAAAGTCTTCGGGGAGGCCAAGGCTAAGGCCAAGGCGAAACCGAAGGCTGGGTCAGGCGTTGGAGCTGCCGCCAAGGCCATGGTCCGTCAAAGCTTCCTCTTGGCGAGGGAGGTGAGGGGTTCTGCCATGAGGGGTAGTCGGTTTGGGGTAGCTCGAGAGACGTCGTGATCCAGAACTGATGTCGGTTGGATTGCCTTGAATATTCGCCAACGCGCTCGACGCTCCATCACACAGACTGTGCAATTGGCCGCCAGGAAGGGAATGTGTTTCAACTTGTGGGAAGGTTCGCAGAGAGGCGAACTGCTCCCTTGTATTCGCTGCTCAATGCTTGCTTGCGGTGTGCTGGGCGCAGGGTAGCACGTATCGACCATGACGCAGAGAGAGAACCGCGCTTTGAGAGCGATTGCGGACTGGCAATCGCGAGGGGAGAGTCGGGGCCCCTGTGGCGGGTTGCGAATTTTGACGTAGCTGGACATAGCAGGTGCCAGTGATCAAGGCATAGTGAGCCATCCTTGACGCAGACCGTTTTAAGTGCGGGTCTTGGGTGTCCCGTGGGTTCCGCAGGCGCCCTTGGAGCGTCCTGGAGCTTTTGGCCTGGGGCTTTTTTGGCGGTCCTGAGGGGGTCTTTGGGCCCCGAGGATCTTGGGCGCCGCCTGTGTACGGCTGGACAGCCTTGGGGCCGCCTGTGTTGGGGACGTCTTGCGGCGTGTAGGGCCTTGCATTAAATCGGGCATGCTTCTCTACAGGAGGAAATCGTACACAACCTAGTCTGGGGACGATTTGTCGATTATGTTTGCAGTATGCTTTGTCATTTTTTATTTTTCTTTCAAAATCCGCCTGTAGGAGGACTTGCCCGACCTAAGCCTTGCTCGATGTCCCGTCTTGGGTGCCTGGATGGCGTCTTGATTGCCTTGGGGCCATCGTGCAAGCATCGGAGGCTTATACTATGATATTGATATTGGAGGCGGTGCGCATGATACAATGGCATCGACGGCGCCCACGGAGAATCACCGCCGCCACTTGCCGTTTCGAAACGCACGCCCGGGCAAGCGTTGTGCCCCCAAGTCTGGCCAGGCTGTTGGACTATGTGTTCCCCCAGAACTCCTTAGGGGAACACTTGGGAGAGGAAGATGAGGAGGAGGAGGAGGAGAAGGATGAGGAGGATGAGGAGAGGGAGAAGAAGGAGGACGAGGACGAGGATGCGAAGTAGCATTAGGAAGACGAAGACGAGGAGGCCTCTTGAGGCCCTCTTGGGGCCTCCTGGGGGCTTCCTTGGAGCCCCTCGGTAGCGCTCTGGAGGCCTCCTGGGACCCCTTTGGGGCCTCCTGGGGATTCTGGGGGCCTCCAAAGGACCTCGTGACCTTCGGAGGCCATCTTGGGGCCGTCTCTGGGCGTCGTGGGTCCCTCTTTGTGCTCTTTAGGTCCGTCTTGGAGGTCAATGGGGCCGTCTTGGGACCCTCTTGGGCCGTCGTGCGGGCTTGCTAGGGGCAGTCTTGGCACATAGTGCTGTCTTGTAGCGTGTCAGCCCGAAAGGTCGAGAGCGCAAAACCTCTTCACGTACCCAAGGAGCAACACTATCTACTTGTCTCTTGGGCCCCCCTTGGGGATCCTCTTGAAGCCCTCTGGCGTCTTAGGGGGGCCTCTTGGGCTGTCTCGAGGCCATCCTGGGCGTCGTAGAGCCCTCGTGTGCCGTCTTTGGCACCCTCTTTGACCGTTTCAATGGGGGCCTCTGAGGACGCCCTTAGCCACGGTCTTCGCGCTCTCTGGCATTTGGAACTCTCACCCGATTGTGCTCCAGTAGTGCCCAGAACTCGGGGCCCTGGGTCCCGTAATAATATTCGCAATATTCCATGTTCAATACGGACCCTGAGGAACCTGAGGACACTAAACTATCCGTAGAATGCTCCTTCGGCGAAACTACCTCGCTTCTCGTCTCTGGAATTAATATCCCGCCCCTGGACCCGTCAGTGCGGGATCCCACCAACGATCCGAAAAGGACTTTGGCAAGACCTTGAATCGGATTTCGAGGAGAGCCCAGGAGGTTGCACCATGCGCCCAGTAAGATCCAAATCGGCGTTATGTAGTAATATTGGATTGTCTCAGGGCGGCCCATTTCGCTTGAGTCATCCTTCCAAGTCCGTATTCCAATATGACCAGGTCTGAGATGGTCTAGCCCGTTTTGGTCGTCTCTTGAGGCCTCTCTTGGGCTGTCTCGCTCCTCTTATTCTCCCCTCCCCTCGCGCGGAAGTATCCATTCATTTATTGAATCGCTTCGCTCATTCCGCCGGCCCGTGATATGGCATCGCTGGTTTTTGTCTGTGTGTTCGTTGCCCATGTTGCGCTCTTGGGGGCGGGTGTCGTTCGGACGCGTTGCGTGGGGAGTTTTGATGGTGAAGCAGTTCCCTGGGGGTCGTCTCTCGATGGGGCGAAATAGAGTCGTCGTCAAGATGCTTCTTTGGGGGGCCTCTTGGGGTCTGTTGAGAGGCCGTTCGGGGGCGCCTGGGAGACATGTTTGAAGCCTTCTGGGGCTTCTTTTGGGCCTCCTGGGAGTCTCCTGGGGCCTCTTGGCGACATCTTGGGGCCTCTTGGAGGCCTCTTGGGGCCTCTTTGGGACCTCCTGGGCGCCTTCTGGGACGGAGGGCTCCATTTTTGAGTTCTCGGTATCCCTCCTGAGTCCCTCTTGGGCCCGTCTTGGGGCCTCTTGGTCCGTCTTGGGCGGCACTTGGGCCGTCTTGAGGGCTCTCTTGGGTCGTTTCGGCGCCGTCTTGGGAGCTTCGTGGGCCGTCTTGGAGCGGTCTTGGGGGCCTCTTGGGCCGTCTTGGAGCGTCCGGAAGCCGAAAAAGCCAGAACACAAAAAACATTGAAAAAACAAATGAAAATCAACGATTTTGGCCTCTTGGGGCTCTCTTCGGAGGCCTCTTGGAAGGCTCTTGGGGCGTCTTGGAGGCCTCTTGGGCTGTCTTGGGGGCCTTTTGGGCCGTCTTGGGGTCATCTTCGGCGTCTTCGAGCGCTCTTTGGGCGTCTCGGGGGCCTCTTGGGCAGTCTTGGGGGCCTCTTGGGGCACTCTGAGCGCGCTCTGGGGAGCCTGAGAGGCCGCACCCAGAAGGAAAACCATCTCTGAGTAGACTTGGTCGGGCGGCGGTCGGGCGGCGGTCGGGCGGCGACCGGGCGGCGACCGGGCGTTGGTCGGGGTACTTTTCGCCGGGGGACCCCCAGGGGCCGCCCCGCGCGCGCGAACTAGAAATACTGTTAATACTGTTAACCAGTTACCAGAGCTCTTAGCACGCCCTGGCCCGTTGGGCCGGCGAATTTATGTCGCTCGTGGTGCTAACGAGATATCGCTCGGCGGTCACCCCCTCGGGAATTGATAATCAGTTTTTTGAGCGCTTGGGATGAAGGGGGGCCTCTTGGGGTGTCCTGGGGCGTCGGGAAGCCGACAAGGCGAGGGCGCCAACATCTTTCAACAACTGAAGGGACATCTGTGTTTTTTTGCCCTTGGGTGCCCTCTTGGGAGTGCTCTTGGAGGCCTCTTGGGGGGGGGATCGGTTATCTCATCCCACGATTGAGGCAGTGACGGATCATAGAGACAGGTTTGATTCTGAGAGCTTGTCCGTTGCCTGCATCAGGGGCCTCGCGTAGTCTGCTGGATGGGCGTCCAGTGCCGGTCCTTCTTGTGCAGGGCGTCCCCAAGCAGCTGTCCTGGAGAAGGCGTTTAGGCACGCATAGGGAGGGCTCTCTTGCTCGTTGTTTTGCCGATCGGCGCGGGCCCCTGCTCCCCCCCCTTCTCTCCTCCCCCCATGGGAGCAGATCTCGGATGTTTTTGGCGCCCGTTTCGAGCAGGTGGAGTCTCCCCCACAGGGCGCGCTGTCGCAAACACCGTCGCGCTCGGCAGAGCGCTCCAGGGCCGGAGCCCCCCCCCCCTACCCCGCCCTTCCCCGCCCGATGTCGGAACGCCGAGCAAGAGAGTGTTCGCTAGTCGGAGGGAGAAGGAGCGACACCGGCACCACTAGGTCCGCCTCCTCTTGTATCCTCTCTTCTTGGAGCCCCCTGGAGGCCGTCGCGATTCTCGCCCATGCACGCATGCATTCTCAAGACAGCCGCCGTCTCTGCACTCAGGCAAAATGCCCTGTGTGCACAGCTCGTACTGCCTCGTAGCTTGCGGACCACGTCCAGCGAGGAGGTCCACGAGCCCGAGCTGGAGGCTGGGGATGCCTCGAGCGAGAGGGGGGGGCCACACCACCAGGGAGGCCTCCCTTGCTCCTCGGATCTCCTCGCCCTGGTGATGTTGGTGTCGTGCTCCTGACTGGGAGGACGGGTCGGAACGTGGAGGCGAGCCAGGGAGCGGGCGAGGCGGCCACCGACCCCTCCATCTCGCCTCGTCGCACCACCAATGTTCTCAAGTCTCAGCAGCTGCTGATCTGGGAGAAGGCGCATCCAACCACTTGCTACAGTCGACCCGCGTGGTAGGAAGGGCAACCTTCTCAAGGGTACCCTTGCATCCTTGCCTCCTCGGTCCACCCTTGGCCACTTTCGTTTGCCGCGCCCCGCTCGAAAAGCTTCGAAACTTGCATCCAAGGCCCCTGCATCCTTGTCGCGCATCCTCATGATGCGGGCCGACTGTGCAAGGACGTGGTGCTCAAGGACAGGTCGCCGCTTGAGGGAGCAGTCCGGCATTCAGCACCGTGGGCATTCCTGCTGCTGCAGGGTTCGCCGAGCGCGTTCCACTACACTACTCGCAAAGTGCCTACTCGCAAACGTCCGAACAGCACATGGCTGCTTTGATGTAATTTTATCGTAGATCCCCCGCGGGGGATCCAGGCCATTTGCGAGTAGTTACTTCGAGTAGTGGAACGCGCTCGTCTAAGGGTGCGGTGGCAGAGGACTGCCAACGAGGGGAGCAGGACTCGTGGCAAACTCTGCGCGGAGCGCAGGGGCCCGCGGGAGCAGCTGGGCCTCGCCGAGAGGGGTCCCGTGCGCGCCCCCCCAAGATCGGTGCCGCGCGGTTCCCGAGCCGTGGCCCAGAGCGCGCGTTCGAGCTGGAGGGGAAAGGGGGAGGAAGAGGGGGTGGAGGGGATGGAGGCTTGCCACCCCAGGCGCCTGCCTCTTGCTTCGGGCCCCTCTCGCCGGCTCAGCGTGGCCTTCCAGACCAGTGACCCCCTCTCGAGCACTCCAGTCGGTCCCAGGCAGCCCGTCCCCGGCGCTCCCCTCCAGTATTCTGAGGTCCGATGTTTTCATTTGTGTAATACGGGCTCTTCGAAAGTCCCCACCCTGTACCCAGGGCCGCCTTGTCATTCTGAGTCGTCTTTGACGGGCCCAGGGCCCGGTGAGCGCCCTTGGAACTCGGCAACTGCCTAAACGAGTGCTTTGTTTGCCCCGAAACGTTTTTTTTTTTTTTTTTTTTTTTTTTTTTTTTTTTTTTTTTTTTTTTTTTTTTTGTTTTTTTTGTTTTTTTTGTTTTTGAGATCCAGAGGCGCTCCTCGGTCCCAGACCGCCGGTCTCCCTCGCGATGCCTGTTGTTGCCCTCGCCCCCCGTCCCCTCCCTCCCTCCCCCCCCCGCCTGCCCCTTTCGGGTGTTGCCAGAAGTGCCCCTGGCCCAAGGTACCCCCAGGATTCTCGGGGTGGCCCAGGCGGCCTCCAGAGCACCCCTCACGAGGCCCACAGGGCCCCTAGTGGCTCCAAAATGGAGCAAAAAGCTAGGGGCACCTTGGGCCAGGGGCACTTTCGGAGGCCTAGAGGTTGACACCAACACCAATATCGGCGTTGTGCCTCTACCGAGGGAAGAGTATCTCAATCTCGGTGATGGTGGTACTATTCTGGCTTCTAGGCGGCCGAAAGGTTACCACCAACACCGAAGTCTAGGATCACCTTCCCCTGGTGGAGGCAACGCCCCGTGTTGGCGTTGGTGTCAATTTCCGAGCCTCCAACACTTCGAGCAACACCCGACCCTTCGCATGCCCGCCAGGCGGGGTCGCCCAGCGCCGGTGCGGGCGGCCCTGCGGCGCCCACGGATAGCGCGGTGGCCCCGCCGGGGGGCCTGCCGGGGGGGGGGGCGTGGCCCGCGCCCCGGCCCGCCTCCGTCCAGGACGCTCGTTTCGGGGGCCCTCCGTGGGGCCCACCCAACGGCTCTGTTCGACCCCAGTTCGATCGGAGGTGGACAGACCTCCTACCCGGACACGTCGGTTCAGAAATTTGCCGTTTTCGGTTCGTGAGAGGCCGTCGCGGCCGTCATTTTTGCGGGTCCAGGTCCGTCGGTTTCGGTCCCAGGCCGTTTGCTTTAAGGGGAGGTTTTAGTAAAGGGAGGTTTGTCCACCGCCGATTCGATACCAGTTCGGCCCAAGGTCGGCTCAAAGTTCGACGCAGGGTCGACGCAGGTTCGACTCAGGCTCGACTCGAGGTCGGCTCGAGTCCACGGGCGTGCGACGCAGCTTCGGGCGCACGAGTGGAGCGAGCGTCTCCAGGCCAGGATGGCCCCCAGAAGGAGCATGCAATCCGTCCTCTCTGCCTCGCATTGCATGCGTTTCCATAGCAAGTTGTGTTTGTGGATCTGCATTCCGTGTGGCAATTTCGGGCAGCAGCAGTTGAGAGCCCTTGGTAAGCCGCGTGACCCCAGTGCCACAACTAAGACGAGACGGGAATGAGTCGTGTGCAGCGCTGTTCAGCTCCCAAGTAGCCAGTCCAGTTCATGTTGCTACGCATCCGTTCCGAATCCGAATCCGAATCTCCCTCCCTCCCTTCCTGCCAGGGCTGGATTTAGACGCTGTTTTGCTGGATTTCGACTGTGCTTTGTTTTTCGTTTTGGGAGGGAGGTGCAGGAAAACAGGTCGAGCAAAACGAAACACAAAACGAAAGTGTGAAACGAAGGCAAAACGAAACACACAACGAAAGTAACACGAAAACAGGTAAAGCACATCGAAGCACAAAACGAAACTAAAACGAAAAACGACGTTTAGGTCCAGCCCTCCCTGCTGCTCCCTCCCTCGCCCCTGGGGCCGGGGCCGCTCTCTGTGTGCCGGCAGCCCGCGCGCCCCGCCCCCCCCCCTCCCGAGAGGGCTCCTCTCTCCTCCTCTCTCCTCTCTCCTCTCTCCTCCTCCTCCTCCTCTGGAGCCTCTGGAGCCGCTGCGGACACAATCCCTCATTGAAAGACTGGCCCGAGCGGATCAGAAGAGGAACACGACGGGCGCAACGACGGGCTCCCCCAAGTGCACCTCCAAGCCAGGCACGAGCCCCACGGCCGAGTAGGCGACGGACCACGCCACCGCTGGCAAGGAGCACACGAGCGTCACTGCTGGTTGCAGGACGCCTCATCCTTTGTCTCCACAGTCACGGGCCATCCTTCACGCTCCAGCCTGGCAAGCTTCCACTTGAACGGCTGTGGATATAGTTTGCGCCTCCTCGATATCCGCTTGGCGTTGATGGCTCCGACTGTCTGGGCGTGCAACTGCTGGACCACCGCCAGATCCGCATCCGTGGCGCTGACCCCAGCCACAGCAGCCCCACCCTCAGAGCCGTCCGTACTGGGGGGGTGGGACCCCAGCACAGGAAACTGCGCAGCAGCCCCACCCTCAGAGCCGTCCGTACTGGGGGGGTGGGACCCCAGCACAGGAAACTGCGCAGCCTCCCCGTCCGAGAGCTCGTGGACCTCTGAGTCTTTCTGCACGACGTGGACGGAAGGCCCCACGGGCAGCAGCTCCCAAGTGCCAGGGACGAACTCCACCGCATCAGCGGAGAGGCTGGTGGGGGCGCGGCCGACTCCCGCGCGCCGTGCCTCGAGGCGAGGCCCACGCTGTGCTCGGCGAAGCTCGCGAGCGCCTGCTGACGCCACGTCGATCTCGAGGGCCTCGGCGTGGAGCGCAACATTGCGCCGCAGCTTCTCCAGCCAGGTGGGCTCCATCCTGTGGAGCGTGGCCACGAAGGCAGGCAGAAGTGCGCGGAGACGCTGTGCCACCTCCGCATCCCCCACGATGTAGTCCAGGGCCGCTTCCGCCGCTGCCAGCTGCCCGCGGACGGCCTGCAGCTCCTCCACGCGCTTGGCCACGGCACGGTCAGCGGACCAACGCGCCCATGCCCGAGAAGCCCAGCGGGCCTCGGCAGAGCGCACTGGGCGGAGAAAAGCTCCGCCCTCCCGCGCCATTCCCAAGTCCGGAACACCTCCAGCAGCAGCAGACCGGCCGCACATGACGAGCCAGCTTGAGCCCCGGGGGCGCGTCCGACGGCTTGAGCCAAAATGGCTACGGTCCTCCTCCTCCTCCTCCTCCTCCTCCTCCTCTCTCCTCTCTCCTCTCTCTCTCCTCTCTCCTCTCTCCTCCTCCTCCTCCTCCTCCTCCTCCTCCCTCCTCCTCCTCCTCCTCCTCCTCCTCCTCCTCCTCCTCCTCCTCTCCTCCTCCTCCTCCTCCTCTCCTCCTCTCTCTCTCCTCTCTCTCTCTCTCCTCTCTCCTCTCTCTCTCTCTCTCTCTCTCTCCTCTCCTCTCTCCTCCTCTCCTCCTCCTCCTCCTCCTCCTCCTCCTCCTCCTCCTCCTCCTCCTCCTCCTCCTCCTCCTCCTCCTCCTCCTCCTCCTCCTCCTCCTCCTCCTCCTCTCGGGGCTTAAGAGACGGGGACGGTGCAACTGTGTGCCCATCTCGAGGCACTTGCGCGGGCCCTCTTTGTTGGCTCTTGAGACCATCTTGGGAACACCTTTGGATACCTTTACCTTCGTACTTGCGAAGCACACTGGGGCGCGAAGGGGCGATACGATCCATACCATTGACCAACCTCGTGATTTTCGCACTGTTTTTCTTCCAGGCCTCCAGATGGCACTTCTTCTCCCATTTTGGCATCAACCATCCCGAAAGCTATTTGGGCTGCTTTGGAGGCGCCTTGGGCCATCTTGGAGCCTCTCGGCGCCGCCTTGAGCAGCTTACGTGCGGCATCTTCGGGCAATCTTGGGGCAACCTTGGACGGCGATTCTTCCCCCCAGAGAGGCCCAGCAATCCTTGACTTTCAGCTCAAGAAGGCTCCAAGAACGGCCTCAGAGTCTTCCAGAAGGGCCCAAAATACCCGCAGACACCCCCCAACACAGTCCAAGACCGCCCCAGAGCCCCCGACAGGATCCACCGAAATGGACCCAGGAGGCCCTAGCAAATCTCAATATGGTTTCACGTAAGAGGCCTCAAGACGGGGCCCAAGAAAGCCCACCGATTCCCACAGAAGGGCCAAACACACCCCCAGGATGACCCCAATAAGGCTTTAAGACAGGACATGGCATCGATCTCGCGCCCTCTCAAGGAGACAGCGCTGCCCGTCCTCGTGGAGGCCACGTCCATTGCATCTGCAACACGCTGGGTCGGCTAATTCAGAGTGGGGCAGGTTACCTGGTGGATTTTCACTACCGCGGAGACCCATGCCAAGAAACACCCTGCGCGCCTCCAGGGTGTTCTGGGTTTCTTGGGTTTCGATCGATGGTTTTGCGATGGAGAGCGCGACGTTCCCACGCTAAAAATCGATGGACGTCCTGGGGTCTCAGGCTTAGGCCTCCTGTGGACTGGCCTCCGCTGTAGCGTTTTGTTTGTTTGTTTGTTTGTTTGTTTGTTTTGTGTGTGTGTGTGTGTCGGTTAGTTCGCCTAAGCGTGTCCTGGCTTAGCGCTTGCGACGGTGCCGCCTCCTCGCCGCTAGCCCGAAGGCCCCGATTCGCCCTCCATTTCCAGTGGGAAGGCTTGTCGGGGAAGATGGACAACAACTTACACGTGAAGCCCGTACCCCCCCAACCCGAAATTCGGGGCTCGGACGTGTGTATTTTTTTCTCGGCGAGGAACCTTGAGGAACATCCTGGACCATCGAGCAACAAAAACACGCACGAAACCGAAACATGCACAGGAAATGAACGTCGAAGCGACGGCAAGGAGGGAGAGAGAGAGCGAGGAGAAGCGAAGAACGGGGCAGCCCCCGTGCCAGGCCCTGCCCTGCGCCGCCCAGCGCCTCCTCCTCCCGAGGAGCCCCGCTCCCGCCCGCCCGTCCGGGATCCGCAGTGGGGGTATAGCTCTCAGCAGGCACCCCTCGCGCCGGGCCTTGCAAGGCTTCGCAGGAGAGCCCCCCTTTGGGTGCTCTCCTGCGCGCGCCGGGCTCCCGATGCCCGAGGCCGCCCCTCGGGTGGCGAGCCTCCGCGCCGAGCCCCCCCCCCCTCCCTCAGGAGGCTCCAGGAGAGCCCAGGAGGGCCCAAGAGGTCCAAGGAAGACCCAGGAGGGCCCAGGAGCCCTTACGAGGGATCGTGGCCCTGGGAGCGCTGACGTAGCGTAATTTACGAGGGATCGTGGCCCTGGGAGCGCGGGTGTAGTGTAATTTTATAACTTGTTGAGGATGTCTCGAGCGAAACGCTGGTTTTGCAAAATTTGTGGATGTCTGGTGACCCCTCGCCGGAGTGACCCTCGGTGCGGGCTCACCAGGGTCCCCCAGATCGCTGAGCGCGATGCGATAGTGGCCGCTTGCGCGCTTGGACTTGGCCGCCTTGCGCCCCCATCGTCCGCGCACTGAAGGTCACTCTTGCCTGGGGCCACTCTCGGGTGCAGCCGACCGCCGCCCGGCGCCAGGTGGTCTGCCGCATCCCCAAGCTCATCCTCATGTACGGGGGCAGCCAGAAGCCGCTGCTGAACAACACGGCCTTCGAGCTGGTCCGCGGCCACCGCTACGGCATCGTCGGCCGGAACGGCGCAGGCGGGCCGCCTCCGGGGGCGGCGGGCCGTGGGGCGGCACGCGGAGGGGCAAAGGGGGCAGTGGGGGAGGGGAGCCTTGTTCTCCACCACCACCACCACCATAAGTAGGAGGGGGAGGTGGTCCTCCTCCTCCTCCTCCTCCTCCTCCTCCTCCTCCTCCTCCTCCTCTACTTTCTCCTCCTCATCCTCCACCTCCTACCTCCTTCCCCCCTCCAACTTGTGGTGGTGGTGGTGGTGGTGGTGGTGGAAAACAGGCCCATCCTTCGGAGAGGGACTCCGCGCGGATTGGCGGGGTTGCTGCGCGTGCCTCGATGGGGCTCGGGTCGGGCGAGCGGAGGGGCGTGGTCTGTTTGCGAGGTCTGCTGCGTGCAGCAGGTTTCGGCGCTGCCGCGGGGCGCTTTTCTCGTTGCGTTGGCGCCTCCGGCGCTGGGCAGCGTTGGGGGATCCAATTGCGTGAGATGATTCGCGAACCCCATCTCCATCTTCACTACTTCCCTTGTGGTGCGACCCGAGAGGCAGGCGGTCTGGGCATGAAATGGCACATTCGCAAGACACGGTGCGGGTTACACAGCCTGGGGCCGACAACGACGAGAGCGACGCCGTCGGCCCTTCGCTTCGAGGCACGGTGCCATCCGTGATGCGGTGAGATGGGTTGGTCGCGCTTGCTCGTTTTCAAAATGGGGGCCGTCAACTCGTCGAAGTGCGCCTGAGCTGGTCGTCTTTCACCACCTACCAAACCACCCCAACCCAACCCGAGGGCCTCAATTTGCCCTTCATTTCCAGTGGGCGGGGTCGGGGAACATTGAAAAAACACATGGAACCCGTACCCCCCCCAACCTGAAATTCGGGTCAAATTCGGGTCTTCGGGTTGGGTTTGGGTGGTCTGGCAGATAGTCAGTCTTGCGCACTGGATTTCTAACCGCCAGCGTGCGGCGACACGTCGGCGGAGCACGTGCAGTCCAGTCGTTGCAGGGCCCGTTGGGAGCCTCTTAGGGGGCCTCCTGGAGGCCTCTTGGGGGCTCCTTTGGTTCTCTTGAGAGTTTCTTCGGGGCCTCTTGGGGCCTCGTCGGGGCGTTTTGGGCTGTCTTGGGGCGCTCTTGTGCCGTTTGGCCCCTTCAGAGGTTGTCCTGTGGGCCTCTCGCGGCCGCCTTGGGCCATGGGGTCCTCTTGGGCCGTCTTGTGGACCTCATGGACCGTCTTGTGGGTCGCATTGGGCCGTCTTGGGACCCTCTTGGGCCGTTTTGGGGCCCTGGGGCCCTCTTGGGGGCTTCTTGGACCTTCTTGGGGCCAGTTTGGAGGCTGCTTCGGCCGTCGTGGGCCTCTGAGAATAGAAAAAGTCGGGAACGCTAAAATTCATCAAAAACCTCTTGTGCAGTTTTGGATGCTTTTTGGGTTCTCTTGGGGCCATCTTGGACTGTCTTGGGGCCGTCTTGGCCCGTACTGAGGCCATCTTGAGCAGTCTTGATGCTCGCTTGCATCCCCAAGAGGCCCAATGGGCCCAAATCATAGATTTTGAAGGTTTTGAGGCCCAGAAGGGGTCCTCCATTTTTGTGTCGACGGAGGTGGCGTGGCCTCGGGGGGAGCAATCCTGCAATTCTTGGATCATATTGGATACGTTCTATGAAGGCGTTTGCCGAAGAACGCTGCTGCTCAGCACGTCACCTCCGGACGTGGACTCCCATCGCTTCGTGGGTTGCAAGTCCGGAGCACGTAACGACTGGGCGTTGGGTGGTCTACTCTGCTCGTCTGCCGCGCTGGTCTGCCGTCTTGTTCTGCCCGCCCCGGGGCGTTGCCAGCGCCACGGAGGCGGATGTGCCCTCCTCGTTTCTGCGCCGGGACGACCGTGCGAATGTCCACGAAGGCACTGCGCATTCACCACGTGTCAGCACAAGGCAACGAGAAGCAACGATGAGCATCGAGCATACTAAGCTGTTCGTATACAATTACGCTGGCCTCTTGGTGATTCTTGGGCTTACGCCGCACCGCCGATCTCTTGGGGGACTGGAGGTTGTGTTGTGTTGCTCCTGAGGGCCTCTTGGGCGCCTTTTGGGTGCTTCTTGGTGCCCTTTTCGGCGCTTCAGGGGGGCCTCTTGAGGGGCCTCTTGGAGCTGCGTGGAGGCTTCTTGGGGGCCTTGAGGGGCCGAGGGCTCGAGATGTGGGCCCAGGTTCCCCTCAGGGGCCTTTCTGGGAGCGGTCTAGGGGCTCTTTAGGGCCATGTTGGAGGCCTCCAGGCTGTCTTGAAGGCCGTGTGGGCGCCCTCTTTGCCGTCTCGAGGCCATCTTGGCCGTCCTGGAGGATCTTTCGGCGACTCGGGGCCCTCTTGGACCATCTTTGGGGCCTCTTTGGGCTCTCTTGGCTCGTTATGGAGACCACTATCCTCCAATGATGCGTTCGCGCCGGGCTCGGGAAATCCGGGCGGACCCCCTCCAAATCGACCAGACCGGGCTCCAGGGGGAGGGATTGGGGGAGGGTGAAGCATCTCACACGCTGGTGACACCCTAAGGGGTCGGCGGATTTGCCGCCACTGGCACATTGTTTGGTTTTTTGAGAGTGATCGTGGGCCTGCACACACAGGGTCATATGATGCCCCCCGCCGTCATGTACACACGTCGCAGGAGCTAAACTCGTCTCGGAAGCTTGGTCGGGATGATGTTCAGGAGAAGCTTGGCGGGGAGGTGATTGAAGAGGACATGAGGATGGAAGGATCTGATGGGACGGGAGTATATTGCCCGTGGACCGGTCCTGAGGCGATGCCGATTAGAGTAAGAAGGATACCCCTCTTTGAAGTGCGCGTAGTAAAGCAAGAAACCATGTCTCCCACGTACCGCTGGTTGATTTTGGGGCCGTCTTGGGCGGGTCGAGGGCCGTCTCGATGCTATCTACGTTTTGGAGCCATCGTGGGCGTCTTGGAGCGAGGTGTGGGGCGTGTCGGGGCCCTCTTGGACAGTCTACTGCGTGCTCGCGAAGGATTCCCCCAGGGCACCTGGCAATCGCGGCGCCGCCAGCACCAGCAGTGGTGATTTCAGTGGCTGACATTTTCAGTGATCGCGGTGCACGCATGGGGAAACGGGCGAGAACCCACGGTCACGGACGGCGGGCATCTGTCAAAATATCAGAAATCATTATCGAAGACGCCTACGGCGAATCACCGCCGCCCCTGCCTTTTTGGAAGCGCCTATGTGGCCGAACGTTGAGGCCAGATTTGCCAAGCTATCGGACCATGTGTTCCCCGAATCGGTTGGGAAAGCTTTCGGGGAACACGTGGGCATCTTGAAGGTCATCTTGGCCGTCTGGAGGCCATTTTGACCCTGCCGGGCCTTCTTGGAGGACGTTTTGGAGGGCTCTTGGGCCATCTTGGAGGCCATCTTGAGCGTCTTGGAGTCTTGGAGGCCTCTTCGGCCGTCTTGGGGGCCTCTTGGGGCCGTCTTGGGCCTCTTGGGCGATCTTTGGGGGAACTTGGGCCGTCTCGGGCCGTCGGAAGGTCGAAACGAAGCAAATGCCACAATCCCACAACAACTTATGGGAAATCAATGATTTTCGTACTTTTCGGGCCTTCCTGGAGGGCCAGCTTCGAGCCAACTTCGGCCATCTTGGTGGGTTCCTGGCCCGTCTGACGACGTCGGGAGCCGTTTAGGGCCTCTCTGAACCAGCTTGGGGCCCTCTTGGGGCGCTTCGGGGCCGTCTTGGAGGCCATCTTGGACGTCTTGGAGGCCTCTTGGCCCGTCTTGGGGCCCTCTTGGGGCCGTCTTGGAGGCCTCTTGGGCCGTCATGGGGCCCTCTTGGAGGCCTCGTGGGCGATCTCGGGGCGATCTTGGCGGCCTCTCGGGCCGTCTTGAGAAGTCGGAAGGCCGAGAAGAGGCAAATGCCAAAATCCTTCGAACACCTACGGAAAATCAATGATTTTGGCCTCTTCGGGCCGGCCGACGTGGCCGTCTTGGAGGCCATCTTGGATCGTCTTGGATGATTTTTTTCCGGATTGAGGTCCTTGGCAATCTTTCCGGGTGGCGGGCGGGACGCGCCGGAGGCCCAGGGGGAGTTCTTTTGGAAAAGAACCAAAACCCCAAACCGAAAGGGTCTAGCACGCCAGCCACCCCTGTGATAAAATCAACAGGGGGCGGCGGATCGAATGGCTTTCGGCACATCCCGCCACCGTGCGTGGGCTGCGGGTCTGAGTCCCCGCGGACGGCAGATCGGTTTTTGAAGCTCTTGGGGGAATCCTGGGGTCCTCTGGGGGGCTTCTGGGGGGCTCTTGGAGCTCCCTGGGGGCCTGTTGGGGGCTTCCTGGGGCAACCGGGGAGCGTCTTCGGGTCGAAAGCTCGAAATGTCCATTCGGGTCCCCCCTCTGGCCCTCTCTGGGCTCAGAGGCCTGTCAGGCCGTCCTGGAAGTTGTCTCAGGCTGTTTTGGGCTCCTTTCGGGGCCATCTTGGAAGCTTCATGGGCCGTCCTTTCTGCCTCTTGGACTTTCCTGGCCGATGCTCGGGGGCCTCTTGGTCTGTGTTGGGATTCTCCTGTACAGAGGATGGTGGTGGCGGTGGTGGAAACAGTTGACCCTCTGGGGGCCATCTAGCATACCACGAGGAGTCGACCACAGTGTGGGTTAGGACTGTTTGGCACATCGGCATCTGCGGTCCTGGGGTGAGGCCCTTTGACGCCCACGTGTCCGCCGAGGCTGGGACCACTGGAAGGGACTCTCCCTGATTGACCGGGCCCGTCCGTCCAGCCGCCCTTCGGCCACGTCACCGCCGCAGGTGGCGCCCGTCTGGGCCTCGGCAGGGCGAGCCAGGGCGAGGCGGTCTCCAGGCCGGCCATCACGGTGGCGCGCGCGGTGGCCTCGGAGGGTCCACGGTGGCCTCCACCGGGCCTCCGAGCGGCCTCCAGACCGCTACAAGACGTCCCGGAGTGGCCACGGGGCCTCCGCAGGTTGGCCCCGAGAGTCCACGCGGTTTTTTGAAATGGTTGTGGCCTGGGCGCGGTCCGGCTTCCAACTTGCTCTTGAGACTTCAGTATCTCACCAAGAGAGGCCCAAGAAGAGACAGGAGGGGCCCTGAGACGGGCCCAGATGCCCCTTGGAGGACCCACGAAGCAAGAGAGAGGAACATGGCATCGCTCGGACGTGTGCAGTTCTTCTCGGCGAGGGCCATCGAGAAACATTCTTGATCATCGAGCAAGAAGAACATGCACGAAAACGAAACATGCACGGGGAATGGACGTCCGAGCGATGGCAGGGGACGGTGACCTCTACATCTCACAAGTGCCAACGTGATAACCTGTACTTGAGGCCAGGCCAGACTCGTCGCAAGACGGCCCTTTGAGGGCTCCTCAGGCCACGCGAAGCTCCAACAGCCCCATGAGAGCCCCCAAAGAGCCCAGACAGGGACCCAAGAGCGCCCCCCAGCTCAGAGCTCGAAAGGTGTCCCAAGAGGCCCCCCGCAACCGTCACTCGGCGGCGAGCGAGGGGGAAGTGAGAAGGAGAAGGCCTTCTCAGAAAAGTGCGGCGGAATTTCTCAGAAGATCTCGCGCCATCTGAGAAGTTGTTTCTGCCTCCGGGGAAGTCCTAGAAACCTCTCAGAAGGCTGGGGGACCTCCAAGCCTTCTGAGAAGGCCTTCTCCTTCTCATTTGCCCCCCCTCGCTCGCCGCCGATCCACTCTGAGGCTCGGGCCACGAGCGATGCCCAGCTGTCCCCTCAACCTCCCCCGCGCCTGGATGGCCAGGGGCGGCCTCCGCGCCGGAGGACTGGCCACGTCCAGAACACAGGCAGTGGGAGGCAGTCTGCGACGCGGGCTACAGTCAACCCGTACAATAAGCATGGGCACCCTTCCCAAGCGTGCCTTTGCATCCTTGCCTCCTCGGTCCATCCTTGGCCACTTTCGCTGGCCGCGCCCCGCTCGCAAGGTGTCGACACGGCCTTCCGAGGCCCTTGCATCCTTATCCCGCATCCGGACGATACGGGCCGACTGAAGGGTGGAGGAGTGTTTTCCCAGGGCGGCAGAGATGAGCTTAGGAGACACCTGCACGCCACCTGCAGCCCATCGGGCTTCTGTCACTCCGAACGGGTGGGACTATCTGGCCGGGTGCAGCGCGCGCCGGCACCCCGCCTCCACAGCAGACGATTGTCCACCACCCACTCTTTGATCCGTTCCCCATCGGGGAAGGACAGAACCCCCACCCTGACACGTCGATGAGTGAATTGTCAGTTTTCGGTTCTCGAGAGGGCGCTGCGGCCGTCATTTTCCAGGCTTGCGCCCGCCAGATTTGGGCCCGAGGTCGTTCTCACTAAACCACGCTTTGCCACAGGGGGCCGAATCCATCCGCGAGAGGACCCTCGGGGAGCGGTGGATGCATACGCTGCCGTGCACTCGCGCACCTGCCAGCTGTCCATGCCCACTGCCTTGCAGGGCTCCGCGGCGCCCTTCTCCCCGAGCGGCCCGTGCGGTTGGGACCTCTCGCGGCGAAGTGCTCTCTCTCCTGCCCGGCACTCCGCCCCTCCCTGGCAGCCCCTTCCACGCCCGGGAGAGGCAAGACCACGCTGATGTCTCGGGTCGCCAAGGCTCCCCTCCCGCCGCCTGCTGCCCCTCCGCCTCTGCCGTGGAGCCTCCGCGTCCGAGCGAGCGGTCGTTGGCTCGCGTGCTCCAGTTCCTCGGGGCGGGGCGGCAACCCGTTCCCCTCGCCTCTCCCTCGGGCGAAGAGAAGTATGCACATGCACCGATCCTGGCAAGGCCCATCCCTGACCCAGGATCGGTGCATATGCTGTCCTGGCCACGGTAGGAGGGCGTATGCACCGATCCTGGGCTCAGGATGGGCCTGGCCAGAATCCGTGTATGTGCATAGTTCTCTTTCCTCTATCTCCCCCCCCTTTGCGTCGTCCTCCATCCAAGTCACCAGGCAGCGCTGGTTGTGCGCTGACAGGGGGGAGGGGGGGTCGGACCGGACGAAAGGAGAGGGGAAGGGGGTCACGAAAACTGCTGCACGCAGCAAGTTTCGGCTCCACCGAGGGGGCGCTTTGCTCAAGACGTGGCCGCTCCCGGTGCCTTGAGGCGCCGCGGAAACCAGCTTCATGTGGCTAATTCGCCAACCCCCCTTCCGTCCACCGCCTCTCCCCACCCTTCCTTTTCCGCCTCGTCGTCGCCCTCCTGCCCCTTTGCTCATTGCCCCCTCCTCCTCCCAGTCGGACGGCCCCCGTCTCTTATGACTGCTCACCACCACCGCCTCCTCCTCCCCCCCGCCCTCCTCCGCTCTCCCGCTCGCCGTTTAGCTCTGTCGTCCCGCCATCCCTTCTGAAGGCCCAGGATTCCGGATCTCCTGGTCACAAGCTCTTTCTGGGTCTGGCAAGCACAGTTGTCACAACCAGCGCAGTTTTCCTGCAGCCTCTATTCCTTACATTTGCTTGGGCTTCCTCGTGCCATGTGGATCGCGTTTCAAGGGTGGCAGCTTTGCAGTAGCATAAGCTGGTAGGCGTCTCAGGCGGGAAATCGGACGGACAGTTCTTCCATGGGATCTTCTCGAGACGCTGCGTATTGCGCGTGCAGATATGCGCACTGATTACACCGATGCATTGTCAGGTCTTGAGGTTGACTGCTTGTTGAATGCGCGATTTGTCGCACGTCCATGCCTGGCAGGCAGTCTCCGATGGAAGGCTTTCGGGGACAGCGCAGCTTCGCACATGCAGGTGTGTCGTGTCTTGCCCCTGCTCGTGGGGCTGAGGAGGAAGTGGTAGGGAGGTGTACGGAAGGGGGGGGAGGGGGACCGGCTGGGTCGGGTGAGGAGGCATTGGGCGCCTTCCAATTGCTCTGTTCGAGGGAGCAATATTTCTGCATGCTCTTTCCTTGCGACGAGTATCATGCGCGTGGAATCACACGAGCGTCCGCCATATCTCCTGCCTGGGAATCTCCCCCGAGAGGGGGATGAGGAAGAGTGAGGAAAGACTACGAACCTCTTTTCAGAAATTTCTGATGCAAGATTTCAAAGCGGCGCTCTTGTCATAATATGTTGGGGCACATCCCGTCCAGATTATAGCTTGTACCGCCTGGCGCCAAAGAGTAAGCGCATGAACCGATATCAAGATGTTGGCACACAGTATCCAACGATCACGGTGTCATATTGTTCCGCTTGTACGTGCGCTGGTACAGACAAACACATTGCATACTTCTGATGCTTAGCTATGCTACGCGCATTCTCCATGTCTTCCTCGCCCTTCTGTACAGTTGCCTCAAGCGTGACCGTCGTCGCCTCTTGGCAATCTCCACATCTCCAGCTCTATAACGTGCCACGCTTGGGTCAAACGGGCTGCAAGGTACGACCTGCACAGACATCAGGCCTGAACTTTCAAAAGAGCGTCCAGTGTGTGTGCGTGTGTGTGTGTGTGTGTGTGTGTGTGTTTGTGTTTGTGTGCATGTGTGTGTGTGTGTGTGTGTGTCCGTAACCCCTTTGGCTCAAGCCGTCTGGGGTACCCCCCGTTCAAGGGCCCTCGCCCTAGGCTCGGGGCCCCCCGAATCTCCGCGGCGCGCGCGCTTGGGACCCCCCTGGGCTGCACCGCCGCCGCCGGGCAGCGGCGGCACCGCGCTGCGAGCACCGTGCTCTTGTCTTTGGCTGCCTCTTGTTGCCGGTCCTTTCGTGCCGCGGCGTGCGGAGCCCGCGGGGCCGTCGCACGCAGCGCACGCTGAGCGTGCGGGCGCTGGCGAACGCTGGCGTGAGAGCTCGCTGCCGCGCGTGGCGCGCGGGCGTGGCGGGGGGGGGGCGGCACCGCTCCTCCTGAGGCTCGCTCATCATCCCTGTCCCCCTTCCCGCCCTCCCCATCTGCCCCTCCCGCGTCTCCCCCCCCCTGTCCTTTTCGCTGCACCGCTGCCTGGCTTGCCCTGACTCCATGTCTCCCTTCACGACCGCAGCGCCGGCGAGACGGGTGAAGGCGGAGTTATAGGGAGCTCGCCCAGGCCCCGCTCCTCGACGAGGTGGCTTGTGGAATCCTTCAAAAAGACGACGCGCCAGTTGCAGAGCTGCGCACTTCTGGTCAACTGGTGGATCTGGGCGTCCCTTCTCACGCTGCCTCTGCTTATCTCCGCCCTGACCTCTTCCCCCGCCTCGGCACCCGCCTTGATCAGGACACGGTGAGTCAGCAGGAACCGTTCCAAGCGCACCATGAGGCCCTTGGATTGGACAGTCAGGATCGATGCGGCCCTCCCTCTGCTGGCCCTCCCTCTGAGGGAGGCGGTCGCGAGGAGTGCTGTCGGCCGCGAGCGCTGCCCCGCGTCCACGACCTCCTCCTCGGACCCCTGTGCCTCTGCCCGGTCCACCCCTCCCGCCCCCCCTTGCCAGGGCCGGCTCCGCAGGGCCCCTCCCCCCCTCCCCCGCGGGAACGACGCCCCGGCCTCCAGACGCGAGCGCGCCCCCGCCGGCAGCCGCCCCGCTCCCCGCCCGCCGCCGCTGGAGCGGCCCCCGCCGCTGCGGCCTCCGCCCCCGGGCCCGCGCCCCCGCCCGGCGGCCGCCGCCGGCCACTCTGCCGGCCTGCGGCCGCGCGCCGCCGGCGCTCCCGGGGGGCCCGCTGCGCAGGGCCCCCCACCCCCCGTCTCGAGCGACGAGCACATCCATATGCATGCGTGTGGAGGGCGATCAATGGAGAGGAAGCATGCTGCCAAACAATTTCCAGATGTCTACAACATGTTTGAAACATGTTTTAGATACGTAAAAACATGTTTGAAACATTGTGGTATACATGTTTTTATTCATTTTAAGCACATCTTGAGTTCAATAATAGGATTCTTAGAGTGTCCATTATCATGGCGTCCACAAATCCATGCCCTCGGTCTGGATTCCAGGGCTGAACCTAAGCGGCCTAAGCGGTGTTTCTCGTTTTCGTTATGTTCTCGTTCCCCTTCGTTTTTGCCTTCAGTCCGCCTTTCTACTGCAAAACGCGATCGAACCGAAAACGGCCCACGAAGTCGCCAAAACACCGTTTCGGTCCAGCCCTGCTGGATTTCGAGGCGCGATCCCATGGACACGCGATCCCATGATGGATGCGTTCTGAGTGGGGCATCCGCGCAGAGCCGCCCCGTATATTCGTGGGGTTGCGGCCGAGGAGTCCTGGCCGCGATCCCGTGGATGTGGCTATGCCTCCCGCCCCCCGACCCCCGCCCCAGCGGATCTGGCCCTGGGCGCGTGGCGGGCCCCGCTGTCCGCCACAACGACTGCCGCTCCTGGCGGAGGGCCGATGCGCGAGGGGCTCTTCCCCCCCCCCCCCGGTGGGCCCTCCAGCACGTCGCCTGGGCTCTCTGCGCGCGATGCTCTTCGACTCCTCTCCCCGAGCGGCTGACGCGCCACGGGCCCCCCACCCCGCTGGGTCAGCCCTCCTGCACGCTGTGCGCTCGGCCGACCGTGGCCCCCCCCCCAACCGCCCGCAGAGCGGACGGGGAGTCCGACCCCTGCGGCCCCCGCCGGCCCCCCCCCGGGTCGAGGACCCTCCGCGGGCCCTCACTCGCGGGCCCGAGTCTCTGGGACCCGCGTCCGGCTGACAGTGGATCGTGCGCGAAGGCCCATCCCAGCTCTGTCGATGCTGCTCGCGCCCTTCCAGAGAACCTGGCTGCGGCGTTCGCCCTTCCTGACACCGCGCCTCCGGCCGGGTCCTGCCCCGGTTGCCGCTGCCGCCTCCCCCCCCTCCCCGGGAGGTGCCCCGCGGGCGCGCACACGGGCCCGCCTCTTGGCCCCTTGGGCGTGGAGGGCGTGACGTGGGTCGTCTCGCCATTATACTCCCTCTGATTGAGCGGGCCCTGCGCCGCCGCCTTTTTTTCCTCTCACCGCGACGCGGCGCCGACTAACGCGGCGCCGACTAGCGCTTTCCCCCCCCCCCGCCGCACCGTGGGCGGGGCCGACGGCTGTGAACGGTCAGGCCGCGAGACCTTCTCGCCTCCAGGCCGCTCCCCACCTCGCGCCCCCCATTCGGGAAGAGGCCCTTGGTCTGGGCCTTTGCTGGCCCTCTTCCCCCGCCCTCCGTGGAACCTTCGGGAGCCCCCCGTGCCCCGGCGGGGACGAGGCTACCTTCCGGGCATCTCCAAAGGTGCTCTTTGAGCGACCAAGTTGGAAGCGTGATCCTCGCCCCCTCCCCCCTCCCTTGCGTTGCGCTCTCGCCGACGTCTCCGCCATCCCCGCGGTGCCGCCAGCTGCGAATGAGACGCTTGGTGCTCCCCCCCGGCCTGGGTTGCTGCCCGACGGCCTCTTTGGCCAGAGGCGTTTTCGCCCCCATCGGGCCCCTTCCCGGGGCCTCTCGAGGGGCCCCCACCCGCTGGAGACCAGTCCCATCGCGGCGACGTCGCCCTTCCCGCTGCGCGCACGAGCGCTGTCTTGGCCGCCCTATTGGCCGTTCTCGCGCTTCGGGGGCCGCCAGTCGGGGGCGGCCACACCGAGGCCTCCCGCCTCGGGGCCGCTCCTCACTGCGTCCCCTCCGTCCAAGGAAGGCTTCTCGGCCTGGGCGCGGGTTGCACCCCCGGGCCCCTGCGGGGCTCGTCGGCGGCCCAGCGCGCCCCGTTGAGGCGGGCGCTGCCTCCCCGATCCTTCGAAACTCGCGGTGGACACCGCTCGCGACGCTCCTCCCGCTTCCGACGTTGACGATACGTCGGCTCGGGGCGGGGGCGCCCCCCCCCCCCCGACCGGGCGCGCGCGTCGACCTCTGAACCAGCGCATGGCCCACCTGCCCACCGTGCTGCATCTCCCCTATTCCTTTAATCCAGGCGGCCCTGCGCTTTGCGGCTGCCGCTGCAATGGGGGGCCGCGCCGTGAGAGCCGCGCGTGGCCCTGGGCCCCGCCCCGCAGCGCGGCGCGTCTCGCCCAGTCAGCATTTCGAAAGGGTTCTTCGAGCACCTCCGCGACGGCGGCCCTCTGGGGGCCGCCCCGCTCAGCGACGCCGAGCTGCGCGCCGCGCTGGGCGTGGGATTCCCCTCCTCTTTCTCCCAGGACAGCTACTGCTCCGACGCTGCATCTGTCGACGATTCTCAGCCTTGCGTAGTGCGCTGCCCGCCCGCCAGTAAGCCGCAGCCCTGCAACGGCTGGCCCAGGATCATGCTCTCCTGCCCGCGACGCCACGTTCGGTGGACCATCCTCGAGCACAGCCTTTCTGCAAGTTCGGCGTCTGCCCCAACTGTGGCGACTCCTGCAAGGGCGGCTCCGCCATCGAGGGTATCCTTCGTCCGCCCCCAGCCGCGTACCAGGCGTGCCAGCCGCCCGCTGGTGTCGGCGCGCCGCGCCAGCACCGCCCTCCGCCCGCATCTGAGCTTCCAGACGGCTTGGCGCCCGTGCGTCGGGCCATCGCGCGCCTCAGCCGTCGGTGCGGTGCTTTCGCTCTTTCTGACCGCTCCCGACCTCCAGGCTACCCACAGTTTGGCGCGGTGGGGCGTCTGCCTGGCCTGGCGCTCACCCCCCCCCAAAGGCCGGGGCAGCTGGTCACGCCCCCCATGCAGCCCAAGGATCCGATGTCTCTCCTGCGGGAAGCCTCGTTTGACGCCAACGTCTTGGGCCACCCCCCGCTGGGGGCATCGGCGCCGCGGTCGTTGATCCCTCCGCGTCTGTAGTAGGGGCGGACGGCTCAGTGAGTTCGCGCCGCCTCAGCAGCGCCGCGGTGGAGGCCGCCCAGCGCTCCCACCCACCTGCCGCTCCGCTGGCACCGCTGCGCCCCGCCGTGGTCGCGTGGCTCCTCCCTTTGGGGTCGTCCGTGCGTCGTCGCTGTTGCCTTTCGCGCGGATCTGCCCGCTTCTGGCGCGCGATGTCGCTCCGCGGCGGGTCCATGGCTCGTGCCCACCCCTTCTGCGCCTTCCGCTTCACCCAGGTTGGCCTCGCCCGCAGAGCCAATTCGTTCTCGCTCCAGCCGCCCCAGTTTCGCCGTGCGTCTGGGGCCTAATAATCGTTGCAACTTGACACGGTCACCGTGCGATCTGCTAGGCGCCCCTCTGCGTCGATCCCGTGACCTCCTCGCGGCCCGCTGTTCTCCTCAGGCGGTGCCGCTCTCTCGGCGCCCGCGCGGCCCCCCGGCCCCTCGGCCTTGCTGGGCGCCTGCCGCATTTTTTCCGGCGTTCGCTTTTCGCCCCCGGTCGGGTGATCGGGCTTCGCCCCCCTGGGCTTCCCTCCGCCCCGCCCCTCCTCCCCATCCCTGGCCAGCTGCTCCCTCCAGCGCCGTGCGTTGCTCCTGCTCCCGCCGCCCCTTGTGGCCCCGGCGAGGTCCCGCCCGCCCAGCTTCGGCGCGCGCCCGGCGCGCCTGCGCGCCCGGGGCTTCCCTCCGCCCCGCCCCCGCGGCGCGGCGCCGTCCTGCTGCTGCCCCGCCCCGCCGCGCGGCCGCCCGCGCTCGCCGCCCCTCGCCGCTCTCGCCCGCCCCCGCCGCTGCCCGCCGCTTTCGGCGCCCGCGGGCGCCGCTCTCGGCCGTCTCCCGACGGCCCCGAGGCCCGAGGCCATATCGGAGGTTGACAGGCCTCCTGCCCTGACGCGTCGATTGGCGAATGGGCCGTTTTCGGCTCGCGAGGGGGCGTCGCGGCCGTCACTTTTGCGGTTTCAGGTCCGTCGGTTTCGGTCCTAGGCCGTTTTCACTGAAGGGAGGTTTATTAAGGGGAGGCTTGTCCACCGCCGAGACCAGCCTCCAGGTTTTTTTTGTTCAAGGCGCCAGATGGCCCCGAGCTCAAGCCATCGTGGCTCAACCCGTCTCGGCTCGAGCCATTTTGGCGCCGCAGGCCCCCGTGCCATGTCGTTCTTGACAGTCTCAAGAAGTCGCTGTGTCCCTCGAAGCGTTGATCAAGAACTGCGGCCGATGCCCCGTGAGTGGCTGGCCGTGTCGCCTTGTCTTTCTCCTTTTGTTGTTGTTATTCCGTCTGCTGCGCGCTTGGCCGTCTGCCGCGCGCCCAACGCCCTGGCGAGTCGCCGGGCTGCGACGGCCGACAAACGTGTTTGTGTGTGTGTGTGTGTTGTGTATTGTGTGTGTGTGTATGTGTGTGTATGCGTGTATGTGTGGGTGTGCGTGTGTGGAAGCGCCTCGCGGGGCTCGATCGTATAGTATAGACGCGCGTGCGCGCCGGCTTTTCTGAATGTTCTACGCCCCGTCGCTGCGCGCGGGGCTGCGACGCCAAACAAAATATGTGTGTGTGTGTGTGGCCTTCGTCGCCCCCCTTGGGCGCGCTTGTCCGCCATATCCTCCTTGCCCCTTGATGCGCCGTCGATGCCGGGTGCGGACTGGCAGGGGCCGTATTGAAGAAGGAGGAGGAGGAGGAGGAGAAGGAAGAGGAGGAGGAGGAGGAGGAGAAGGAGAAGGAGGAGGAGAAGGAGGAGGAGCAGGAGGAGGAGCAGGAGGAGGAAGAGGA